AAGCTATATTATTAGAATGCACGACAAATCAATTCATCAGAGCATTTTACACAGTTGCAGTTAAATGTCCGCTACTGAGCTGTCCGCAGAGGTGATTTGGAAAATTAAATGCCTCATTAAGTCATAGACTCGCCCCGGGATCGTCCACTGATTTTACTGGACAGCTGAAAGAGAGTAAAGCAAATGGTGCAGACATTCGCTCGTAAATGCAGTCAGTTGTTTCCGTTGTAAACCGCCATCACTCATGTTTTGATTTCATTTACTGATTACTTTGCTTCAGAATCAATGAGGTTGAAATTGAAATCTTAACAAAAAACTGACAGAGGAGAAAAGGACAAAAAAAATAAAAAATCGGGATAATAATCAAACATGAAAACAAAACTTTCATATTCACCTTGAAAAGGAGTAGGAAGAAGCCGATGCTTATTAAATCCTACCTTCAATTGACTTTTTCAGTCTAGAATATAGAATCCCACGTTATAAATATCTATGCAAATCAATTTACTAGAAAAAGACGTTTATGTTAAATATGTGAGATATCAGACTTGCAGTAAGCGATCTATTTCACTGTCAGTCATGCTCTGTCTGTAAAACAGAGTGACAGGTGATTCTCTTCTGGTAGTCAAACCATGACTGACTCTGTTTTTCGCTCATCATTTTTCAGTGAAGGGTGGAAAAGTTGAGGGAAATTCCTCTCCTTCAGCTGCTAAGGTAATTTTACACTGCAGGAATGGTTTGCTTCGTCTTATTGACTGTTAAACCTTTTAAATCGTAATATACCTTAAAACCATAAATACTAACACAGTAGTTTATGGTGTTTTCACATCTTATAGTCCTGTAGACTCGGTTTGATTAGGGATCAGGGGTTTGTTACATTTTCAGCTGCTGTAGTTTCCCTCTACACTGCACTGTGTCAAACAATCAAAACCTTTGAAAAACTGCTGTTTCCCTCCTCACCTGTGGTGGCGCTACTCCAAGAACTACTGAAGGAAGCAACATAAAATCCTCCATAGAAGACATGAGCACAACTTCATCTTCACAAAGTGTAAACAAATATTTAGTAGAATTTATTTTTTCCCTTTTATAAAAAAAACCCACGAGTCATTTCTCCCTTTACCATTAGGTTCACATCTTTGTTTCGGTTGCATTTACCCAGAATGCCGTGCGCTTTAATCTGCTTCCTGCTTTTGGAAGGGTCTGCAGTTCGCTTGACATTTACATATGTATTTGAGTTGGATCAGAGTGCTCTGCAACTGAACCGAGACGTGGGTTTATAGGCAGACCAGAGTTTGCTTTTTTGGCTTGATTGTGCATTCACATTTCCCCAAATGAACCGGACCTGAACAGATTGGATTAAAGTGGACTCAACAGGGCTGGTGTGAATGTAGCCTTAGCGTACAGGCAGCCTCTAGCTAGTTGAACATAAATTGTTATTGAAACTCGTTAATTTTTAATAAGTACATTAATAGAAGTTTGCATTGCTGGGCTGGACAATAAATCAATTATAATATATATTGAGATATTAATAGCTAATACGTCTGATAAAATGTTCAATAATTTCTCTAAACTGATTCAGAAACGCACGGCATTCTGGGGCATGTAGGCAGAGGAAAGGCTTTAGCTGCTGTACCGCTTTCTGCCAGCTAAGCTAAGTTGTTGGCATGAACTAACTCTTACCTAGCAACAACAGCTTGAGTAACTGTTGCAGCAGCAGTTTAAGGTTTACCCAACGAGCCTCAGAACTGGTGAAAAATAGAAAACAATGATGTGGAGTGAAAACTGTGGATAAAACTGCAAAGGTCACATAAAAAGTTGGCGGTAATTCAAATATTAAAAACAAAAAAAGCTAATAAATAATGACCAATATTGACTGACATGAAACCCTTTTTCAGTCAGATTGTCCATCCCTAGTTTGTTTACAAATTTACATTCAGCTGCAGGTTTGACTTACTGTCTCAGCTGTGGCTGTGCTGTAACAATAAAATATAAGCTGGAACTTTTCATCCAGCAGATGAAGCTGAGGGGAAATTTCTGAAATATTTATTGCACGGGTTAAATTCGTGGAGCCTGAAGGTGACCTCCTAAGTTACAAAGGGAGGCAGAGAAGTGAAAAGACTGCAGATTGCTGGCTGCAGACCATCAGTGTGGAGTGATATTGACGATGATGTAATGAAATGGGCACCTGTCCCCAGGGTGTGGATGAACTGTGCGAGGCCCCTGCCTGTCACTCGCTGGGGTTTTGGGGTTTGTCATGGAGCCCAGCATTCCTGTTGAGTGACTCAGTGACAGAAAGTGAGTTACATGCCTTCCCCACACCCTCCATGTCACTGCCGTTACCGCCAATCCCCTCCATCCACCCTATGGCTGACCAAACACCCCTCACCTCCTCCCTATGATGACTTCAGAGCAGATAGCTGGCTGTTTGGGTAATCCCTGCCTGGGACCAAGCTATCCGGATCGTTTGATAAAGCTGCCTCTGGAACGGAGTCAGGGCAGACATTTGAGACCCGTCTGTGTTTTTCTTTCTTTTTTTTTTTTTCTTCTTTGCTGTCAGTTTCTTTCTCTTCCTGCAAATCTCAGAGCGCCGGTAACTGGAGCTGTGCAGGATAGCTGGGGCCCAGAGGTAGCTGCTTTGTGTGGGACAGAGATAGTTGGAAAAAACAAAAAAAAATGACAGACAGGAAAGGTGCAATCTGAGACATCTTTCCTGTCTCCAATGGGGGCATAAAACTTAATAACTTACTTGTAAATAGATCAAAGTAATAGAAACTAAAGATGCACGGCAAAACCGACTTTAGCACATCATTATTTCTGTAAGAACTGTAAAACTAGTTCTTAGAATATAAAAAAAAAATTAAAATATTTTCTTTGATTACTTCTGTTATCTTTCAACCTGTGAAACGCTGATCCCAAACCTAAAATTAAGTCTAGTACAAGAATAACGTTTTATTTTATTTTCTAAATGTGTCATAGAAAACAATAGAGAGGCTTCAGTTGTTGACTGTCTTCTATAACTTTATATTTGTTGTGTTTTTCTGACATAGAGCTCTTTCAACTGCTTTGTTGCTGAAATGCACCATACTTATAAACTTGACTACATCTGACTTTTCACTTCAGTCTGAATCAGGCCTGTGCCTCTTCCATATGTGGAACTAAATCGGATTCACATCAAATTGTTTTCAAACCGTCTGCAGTCTAAACAGTCAAGTATTGGATCCAATGTAAAGAATGACTCGAAATTATGATGATGAACTTATGAAAGAAGCCTGTGTCAGTGAAGAGTGTCAGAAGCTGGTGTTAATGCTCCATTAATACAAAAGCCCATTTCGACTAGCTGTGCTTTCTTCATGTTTTGATCTTGTTGGCTGAATGAACTTTAACCCATAAACGTCTCCATCTATTGTAAACAAATCGCTCCTCTGAGACATTAACGTTCTTTGGGGTTGTAAAATGTTCACACATACATCTGAATGGGGTTTAATTAACAGAAAAAAACCCAACATATTTTCAGCTATAATAAGAATACAGGATCTCAACCTGCTGTGTGAACGTGGACTCGGGGTGACGGGGTCTGTGGCTCCTAACCTGTGGAACATTTTGTCATTTTGCTGACTAAATGTTTAAAAACAGCTGAAAAACGTTTTGTTCTTCCAGGCTTTTTATTGTTTTTATGCTATGCAAAACCAAAATGTGATTTATATGTGTGCAGTGCTTTGTGTTTTATCAATAAGCTTTCTTACTTACAAGTCGGAAATGATTTACACCCACAGCAGAGATGATGTCTTTCAGCTGTGTGACATTGTCAGGTCTGGTTTTTTTAAAGGGATTTACTATTATTTTAAAGCAAAGATAAAATGATTTCACATTTTAAACCATTTTCAGCGTCTTTATTTTTAACAATTTTCCGTTTGTATTTCCTAAAGAATATAAATCCTTCCCTTAGCTGTCTTGCAAAGGATTACACTAAAACATAAGACAAGTAGTTCTCCATTTAACCTTCTTATTATCCGTTTAAATTCTTGTTCTCTCCCAACCTGAATGACCTGCAAATGTCTTAACTAAATGTTCTTTAAATGAAGCACAGAAAAGTAAAGTTTTTTTTTTACCAACTCACTGACAATGAAAGCAGCAAATATCAAAAAATTTCACGGTAAGAGCATCCACACTGAAGAGTGTTAATTCACCAAAATAGTTTGGTGTGTTTTCTGATCAGAGTTTTGATCAGGTTTCTGAATAGCTGGTCCAATAAAAACCCAAACTGATTCTCATCACAAGATGATTTCTTCTGATCTTCTGAAAGTAGTTTCTCCCAAAGCATCTGAAGGAAAAAAAAAAGACTTATAAGATTTATAATAACGATACCATTGCATTTTTTTTTTTTTGACATGCAGTTAAAACAAATCTGACATTGAGAACATTTGTGACTTTTGTTGATTCATTAGAGCTAATTTTTAAACTAACTCTTTGAGGTATAAAGTCCATCTACACAAACTACAGGGAACTTGCTGCTGTTATATTTATGAATATTTAACCCAAAAATGTTCAGAAACTGGGACTCAATCTTGGTGTATCTGGAGAAAAACCTCTGCAGAGATGAAAATATTGAAACTAATTCCAGCTCTTGTTGCTAAATTTTGTGAAGGAAAAAAATTATTTGTATGGGTTGTGGCTTAATTTAATTTTGAAACCCCTCATCACCGCAGCAAACTTGGGAATTAATGATGTATCTGGAAAGTGTGACTTTGTGTTTTGTGTAGCAAACGGCAGCTAAGGGAGCCGTCTCCTACAACTCTCCCCGCACTTGCTGTCTGCTTTGGTTACCATGCATCAAGCCCGGATGTTTTCCCAGAGATGACATAACAATGTTACGCTCCGTGACGAATGATGGCCCCTGACAACTACAGTGAAAGTATTAAGTTTCTTCTGGACAGATGAGAGTTTTGCTCATGTCTTTATCCCGTGTTTGTCTTCTCTGCTTCCCTCGATCCTTCCCCTTCCAGCTCAGTGTCGCTACGCCCTGGGGATGGAGGATGGCACCATCCCAGACTCTGACGTCACCGCCTCCAGCGCCTGGTCCGACTCCACAGAGGCCAAACATGGAAGGTGGGAAAATGTTTTAGTTTGTATGTGAGGGTAGCGGGTGAACACTGCAGATAAAATTACCGTTGTTGAAGTAAGTTTCATTTAACACAAAATTGAAGCATCAACAGCCTTTGCAAGCTGCAAAGACGCATCATCTGCTTGACTGTGCAACACAAGTTTTGGCTTTAGGATCAGCTCATGAGGGTACAGGCCAGGTTGCAGGATGCCTGCTGTGGTGAATTATGGGACCACCCATACTGCACACAGTGATTAAACACTGGGGCTGTAATGGTACATGTAGTTTTCCTGAACCATCACAGTGCAGACAGCGCGTGTGCATGCAGTCAAACGAGGAATTTGTTAGTCACAGGAGATCGCTATTCTTATTCAGGCAAGTCTGCACACACATTTTCTGCTGCTAGAGAAGGTTAAACAACTATCTGAAGAACTCCACACCAAACTGGTAATAATGACCCACAGGTTAAAGTCCTTGTGATTATTAATCAACAGGGAAAATTTTAAAGATGAGCATTGAATTGGGAGCTGTGCTTCCAGCTCGATGTTCAGTAGAGCTTTTTCATATGACCCTTTTCTGTCTTTTTACTGTAATTTATTGCAATAGTTACAGAAATTATTCAAATTTCTCTTTTGATTTGTTGAATAAAAAATGCACAAGTTATTGCACATTTCTGTTGACTTTAAGCTTTTTCATGAGTCTTCAGTGTGAAGAGGACAAAAAATTATGAAGGTTTTCTAAAAATTTTTACAAGTAGAAATCTGAAAAATGTAGCATGTAATTTTATTCAGTCCCTTTTATTCTAATAACACAAGGTAAGTCTTTAATTGGTTAACAGTTAGTAACCCTGGAGGAGCAGCAGAAATCCACGGCTCGGGTGGGAGCATCTATTGTTTATTCTCCACAAATCTGGCCTTTCTGGAGTGATGACAAAAAAACTTGCTGAAACAGAGATATAAGAAATTCCCTTTGCACATTTCTGCAACCTGCATTGACACAAAAAGCAAGTGGAAGAAGGTTTTCTGGTCAGATGAGACCTAAGTCCTACAATCTGGCTTGCACACAAAACACCATGTATGATGGAAATATGGTGGTTGCAGCATAACATGGTTTCACTTTCACACAGCAACAAATTCAACCCAAATCAGATTTCTTTGCTCATATATCAAACTTTTTTACAGCAATCTGAACAGTCCAGTTCTGATCTGTTCACTCCCCAAATAAATCAGACTTCAGTTGTTTCTTCGATAGTTTTCAAGACGTCTTCTGTCACAACGGTCATGTTACATTCACCATCTGCTTGGCCAGGCAAATGGTGCCTCGTCATCAATGACATGCATCATAATTCTTCACCAGAAGAAGATAATGACAGTAAATTCAGACATAAATAATGGCTAGTTATGATCTTACGATGGCCAGCTCCCGTTGCTCACCAAATTTAAAATTGATCCATAAACGGCTCCATCCGTTATAACTTTGTTCTTCTTCTGGGCTCATAAACATTTCATACAGAAGTCTGTTTGCACTTGCATTTGACTAGTATGAAGACATGCTGTGTGAATGTAGCCTAAGAAACAACGAGCTGAGAGCAAAGCCTAGGCTCACAGCCCAGACTCATATCTGTGACTTTATGAAGTATTGCCTCAGGGGAACCAAGTACAAATGCATCCCATGTTTTGAGATTTGTATTTGTTAAAAGTAAAAATGAAAAGCAGGTATCCCTTTTCTTCCACTTCCACTTGTTATGATGCTCTTTCCAATCTGTTTGGATTTAGATGAATAAATTCCTGTTGATTGATTTTTATGTCTGCTGAGCAGAACTAACATGTGTAATATTTAAGGCAAGGCTTGTCCTTCATTTAAGTAGGTTTTTTTTTAGCAATATAAACAACATTTTTGAAGAAATGTTCTTTTCATGCAGCAGGAATAACAATTGGATTTCTGTGCAACACAACTGAAATCGATACAGAGCTGCCGTTTTAGTGGTAAAATGTAGATGGCATCAAAGTTTTGACTTATCAAGCTCTGGAAAAAATGAAGGGACAACTTGAAATGATCAGTTTCTCTGATTTTACTCTTTATAGTTATATGTTTGAGTGCAATGAACTTTGCTCTTTTATTCTACAAACTCTGAAATTCCCTGCAAAAATTAGGTATTTATTTGCAGAAAATGAGAAATGGTCAAAATAAAGACCTCAAACAAAGTAAAGAAAACAAGTTAATGCTAATTTAGAAACAATATTTATGTTTTAACTCAGGAAGAGTTCAGAGATCAGTATTTGGTGGAAAAACCAGGTTTTCTATGGGCTTCAGTGAAGTGGTGTCTTCATTTTTTCCAGAGATGAACTTCAGGCTTAAAAGATGTTCTCAAATTTGTGATTTGGGGTGAAAATATTTAGAGTAGACTCAGTGAGTTTGTTGTTCTGGTCTCCAAAACCATAGGTTCTTTTCACTTGGTCTACTTTCCCACTTTTGAAAGCCTGCCTTTGAAAGAGCTCTTTATAAAGAACGTATAATCACCACTTTGAATAGCTGCTCTGGCTGAGACTTGATAGGGTGGATTAAATGCTTCGCTACCAGTTCTGAGTCTGGGCTGCTGCCCGCATCCGATTTATGCTGGAAGTCACGTTCAGGTGAGCATAAAACTGTTTTTGAATTAAGAGACTTCATTAAAAACCACAACAGCAATCATTAAACATTAACCTCTGCACACATTCTTCGCAACACAACAAACACTGCCTTTAACCTTCTGTCCCTACAATGTGCTGCATGCATAATTCCTGGATAAGCCGGAGTGATGATGTTGTTATGATGCTCAAAGTGCAGTCGCATGTTTTGGTTTAGAATTATAATAAATTGAAGGCATGGTCGTAATCGGGTACTTTTAGTGCTGCTCCGTAATGAGAGGGTTGATGCCTGAAGAGGTGAACACCTGCTTATTAGGCTGAGCTGCAAATCTCTATTTAAGTTGGATCAGTTCAAAAAGTAAAACTTAAAAATGACAGAAAGCTTAATTATACCTCTACAAATTAAAATTTAACTAGAACAATGCCGCAAGTTGAGGTTGTAGCAGGTTTCGGTGAATAGATGATCAGATAATATATGATAAAAGATTAAAGTATTCAATCATCTTCCAGATTAGATACATTTTTCAGGTAAATTTACAGAAAACTTGAATGTATTTGTGCTCTCATTCATATTCATCCATAAAATGGACAAATTCCCCCAAACATTCATATATAAAACAAAGTAATCTGAAGATTTTCTGAAGCCCCAATCCATCTTGAAAATGTCTGCACCACCTTGAATAAAGGATTTCTTGTGACAGTTTTACTGTGATGATGCAACTTTTATCTTTTCATCAGATGCAGCAGCTGGAAAGATGAGTGATGAGAACTGCAGCAGTCATTGTGGGTCTTCAGTGGCACGACTCAGTTTCATAAGAACTTGAATAAGAAACGATTTAAGCTAACAATCTGAAAAAAGGTCATTTAAGTTGGTTCATACCAAATTAAATGAGTAAAAATACATCCGGTTTGTGAGTTAGAAGCCATGTTTACTGGTGTTGGTCATTTTTTGTTTCTGTAAATATACTATGAAGTACAACTTGATGGTTCCAGGTTTGACCTTCTTTATAGATCTTTGATTAAAGATGAAAAATTCCTTTCAGATTTTGATTCATAATGATACCAACAGTTCATAAAGTCTCCAGAAAGATGTGGCTGATTTGTCGACTCCATGACGTGAATCTCCCGTTTGCCCACATCCCAATGGGGATCTATGGAGCTACGTTCACACAGCAGGAATATTTGACCCAAATGAACATTTTTTTGCTCAAATGTAACCTCTATCTGACTTTTTCACTGGAGTCTGAACGACCCAATTCTGATCTTTTCACCTCATTTAAATCTGATCTAAATTGGATACGTGTCTGATTGTTTTCAAATTACTTTTAAGTCATTGATGTGAGACACGCATCTTAACTCTGCACCAGAAAAAGCCAGATGCTGTAAATCAGGACACAAACAATGACTGAAAATTAGAATTATATATTTATGAACGAATCCCATCACCGCCCCGCCAGAGTTTTTCTAAACCAAGCCATGAGCTTCAGAATTGATCCATAAGCAGCTTCGTCCATTATGACTTCTGCAAACATTATACTGCTATGCAATGTTAGCATTCCTCTTCTCCTATTCACACAAAAGTCTCATTGCTATCAAGTTTATTTAGAGGTATGAACAACCAGAAAATAAAAATAAAAATCAAGACCTGCTATGAGAATATAGATTTCAAGGTCCTTTTTAAAAAAAATCTAACGTTGAAGAAACCAGTTAGAGATTATTTGAGTTTTGTTTCATGGCTCAATGTCCTGCTGGAAGCAGAGATGTGAAGATGGAGGCACTGTTGTCATGAATGGATGGAGATGATTGTGGTGTTTTTAAATTACGCTCTGTTGGTAGAAAGCTAGTTGCAATAAACAAATAATTAATCAATTAATAGTATCATAAAATCAAGTGATTATCATAATTTCTATTCGATTTATTATTTTTCAAAGGGTTCACAGAATTCATAATCCATTTTATGTTTGGTTTTGTGTGATTATTTTATTTATTGCTGTTGGTTGTTGTGTTTTCTCGCTTCATGAGTGATTGAAGACACTTCGTGAGGGAAAGTGTCTTCAGTCAGAAGCTTCTTCAAATTAGCTGTAATACAGACTGCTACAAGACATCTTTCCTGTCAACAGCCATCACAAATACAAAAACTCAGAAGAATTTGAATTAATATTATTTAATTTCCCTTCCAGCTCAATAAGGTATTTTTAAAGACCATTTGTCTTAACTTACATTATTATCAAGCCATTCCCATTACCAATGGATGAAAATGGTCTCAAAATGATAACATCATTTATAATTTATCATCATTTCTGAGACAATTTATTATTGCGCAAAATGTGTTATTGTAACAAACCTAGTTCTAGTAAAAGGCCAAAAGTTTACATAGAAAATACGCAGTTCTCCGTCCTTCCACCACCAGCCTGATCCGTTGCTGCAGTGGATGATGCTGGTGAGTCTGTGGGAGTCGTCGCCTCGTTTTGGTGTTTTTAGCGGACAGGAGTGGCTCCCGGTGTGATCGCCTGCTGCTGTAAACCATCTGCCTCTACATGGTTGTTTGAGCTACTGTTGCCTTCCTGTCATTTCAAACCAGTCTGACATTAACAAGACATCAGCCGCTCGGTGGATACGTTTTCTTTTTTAAAACATTCTCTATAATCAAAGAGATAAGCAGTTTCTGAAATACTCACACCAGCCTGTCTGGCACCAGCAGCCACAACATTCAAAGGGGAACATCGTCATCAGATGAAACAGAAAATCAGAAGCTTCTCCTCAGTCCTGGGCTGTCTTTTTTCCCTGTCCATTTCCTTCACAATCTGGTGCATAAGATCTCATGATGGCTGAGTGTCTGTGTTTGGGAAAGTTTCCCTCCTAAATTGGGGGGAGCGCTCTAATCCGGGGGTGTCCAAAGTGAGGGCCGGGGGCCATTTCTGGTCTTTGTAATCACTTTGTGTGGTTCAAAAATGGTAAATATTTGGTCATCTGGCATATGGAGCCAATGCAATGGTCTACATCTTCTTAAGCAGACACTATTACATGCAACACAAAGGATTTTATTTTCCTTTTTTTTACATAAATAGAAAGTCATTCTGCAAATATGCAGTGACTTTTTACCCAAAAACACACTTGGACACACCCATTCATTATACTTGGCTAAAGAGCAGAGGATTTAAAAGAAAATTCTCATTTTTGTTGCTGGAAATGAACTAAATATATTCATAGAACAGCAAAATAAAAAATAATTGGCCCAAAAAGTTAAATAACCCTAAATTTTAAGGCAAATGTTTGTTTCTTTAAAGTATAAGCAGTTTAATTTATTTTTGTGTAAGTAAGTATTCAAAGTAACACTACTTTAGCATTTCTAGTTAGAGTAAAAGAAAAAAAAAAGAAGCTAATTTTGGCCCCTAAATTGTTTCAGTTTGGGGATTTTGGCCCCCCTGCTGAAACCTTTCCCATTGCCTTGACTTGATGGGCCTGGAGTCGCTCATTCTCAGCGCCATAATCACAAACTAGAGTTAGCAAAAACACATAATTGGAAGTTCAGAAAGTAATAGAGTGATTGAGGCTCTCCTCTTAAAAACTCACCAACTCCTACAATAACTTTGCTATTTGGATTGAGTTACTGCAATAAAGTTGCCAGAATGAAGCAGTCAGATGACGTAGCACTCAGCTCAAGGTTGAGGAGCGATGCAGCCCATTTTGAGGTCAACGAAATAGTTTTGCCAGCTTTTCCAGGAAGATAAAATGAGTCTTTGCAGGCGATGGATGAGCCAGTGTTGATAACCAGGAAGCATAAGGCGGCAGCAAGCGTTGGCAGGATGGCGGAGTACCGACACGGGCTGCTACCATTGAGGACGAGCCAGTTGGAGCTTTTCAGAGTGAATAAGAAAATCACTTCCACACTCTGCTGAAAAATACTTTTCTCAGACAGTTTTAACAGGAGGAGGTGTGTAGTGTGTGTTGAGGTCTCATGCCTTATGTGGGTCATTGCTGCATCACAAGGACCCACACTCCATCACATGCTCTGCTAGCTGAGGCCTGAAAGATGGCCGACAAATGACCTGAGAAAACTCCTCACCTGACTGACATCCTGCTGAGAACTTGATGGCCTCTTAAAGAAGAAGGTTAATGGGGAGGCAGGCTGATAAAACTCTGTGAAAATGTTTTTTAAAGGGCAGCTATTATGCAAAATTCACGTTTTGCAGGTTTTTGTACTTCGATTTAAGACTCAACTGCTTCTAAAAGCAGCCCATGTGCATAAAAAAAAGACATCCAGACATTTTCTGGAAGATAATCTTTTTTAATGTGTGAAAAATGAACCTCCAGATTGTTTAGTCACATTTGATGGACACTGCACTGTTACCTAGCGACCCAAGCTGAGCTCCAGAACATTTAGTTCGCTAGTTTTAACGCTGTATGTGCTGTACAATGGCTGCTGGACAGGACAAGTGTTTTGTTGTCGACTTTTCAATCAAAGCATTTTCTGCATTCTTGTTGGTTGTGCTGGAAGCTCTTTCAATGCTTTTCAGAGACGTGCAGTTGCATATCTTGGCATCATCTTTTAGTATAAATCCAGACCAGTTGGTCCTCAAGGCCAAAGCTAGCATCATGTTGTGTCAATGGGAGGATGGATGGAGTCAAGTTTAAAGCGAAGATGGAAGAAAACCTGCAAGACGCTGCAAAAACATCAGACTGGGATAAATGTTCTACTTGCTGTAATACAAAGATAACTGACTGAATTTGAGCTGTTTTGCAAAGAATGGTCGTGAAATTGAGTCAGCGAAGCTGCGAGATGCATATCCCCAGTGGTGGCTTAAGGGGTTGAATACAAATGCATAACAATTGTTTAATTCTTTAATATTTTACAACCTGTGCATCATTTTCATTCCTCTTCAGTCATTTTGTTTGTGTAAAATCTATTCATATAATCTCAGTAAAATTTGGAGTTGTGTTGTAAAAAGTTTTGCAAGGCGCATCTCTTTGCACTTCTTCCACAAAATATCAGTGTTTATTAATGTATATTGAAATACAACTCACATGTTTTTTGCAGGAAAACTAAATAATTAGGGACAGTTTTTACCTCTGAGACTTGTACTCTAGTTAAACATTCAGCTTTGATGTTCATAGGCTGACCGATTGTAGTCTTTGTTAAACAATTTAATGAGGAATACAATTCATCTCATAATTATGCATCTGCTGTGGCTGTTTGCTACTAACCTGCGCAAAATGTAAATCAAGCCCTTCTTTAGACTAATGTGTTTGTCTGTAGAGCTTATTTTCAGTCCGCTGGCACCACGCTAAAGAAAAAAAACTAATGTTTCTGAAGTCTATTAAGTTTCGGCAGGAGATAATTGCGTGTGCCTTCATGAAACCCATTTGCTAATTGTATTACCACCTCGTCCGCTCCGATCCGCGAGAGCCCCGTTAAACCCATAACACGCTACAGCCACGTGTTGGAGCTTTTTGCAGGATCATGTGTTCGGGCCGGTTGGGTCTGTTGGCCCGCTGTCTAACCATGTGGAAGTGATTGTTAGCTCAAGCTGTTTTTAAGGCACATTAGGGAGACCCTGAGAGGGAAAACAGTCCGAGCTGCGAACATAAAGTAAAACAGAAAATGAGTGAAAGGTGCATTGCTGCAGGGCTGCGCTATAAACTGGGGATGAATCAGCTTTCAAGGTTTAATGGACCATATTTCACTTCCCCTGAAAAATTATATAGCATATTGGGTACGATGGAGTGAAGAAAATTGGAGAATTTAGCATTTGCAGAAGATATTTAACTAAACAGAGCAGGCTGGTGCATTCAGGTCCAAACTGAGCCTGGCTGCATTTCTCCTTCTCCTCTGTCACAGGACTCTGGGTGGACCGCTAATGTGTTGATTTAATCCTGCGGCTCCCAGCTGTATGAGCTCACCCGGCAGACGGGGGAAGAGGTTGATTTTTAAATCCCAACGTCACCGTCAGTTTAACCAAGTTGATCTTGTGATTTGTTTTAGTGGTCGGTGCAGCAGCGTTTGTTTTCAGAAAGGCCCCCGAAGCGGTCAGAGCGTGGTTGTGGCCTGGACGTTTGCTCCAAAAGGCCGGTCCAACCTCACAGATTCACGGCCAAGGCTGTGGTCTCCTCGTGGCCAATATGTGGTGCTGGTAAAAGCTCCTCTCCTCCGGGTGGATTGAGGGAGGGTTCGCACTGGGAGGAAATGTTTGATGCATGTGTGTGGTCACGATAAAAGCTCTCAGCAAAGATCCAGTCCTGACAGTGAGCACCAGATCTTGTCAGAAGGAGGCTTTACTCCTTCCATGTAATTCCCCCTCTTCGTGAGCTGGATGCTGTCTGTGCTTTTCGTCGGTGTTCATTTCCAAGTCTCTTTCTTGCTGTGTATTTCTTGGTCAGATTCACTGCTGCAACTTTGTGAATCTTTGATTGCCATTATTATGTATGTAAGGTTGTGCTGAATCCTCTGCACGTTGCCAACGCTGAGGTTTTAGATTTAGTGGAGGCACTTGTATGTTTGCCTCTTGCTTCGTTTGTTTCAATTTGATGGACCAGCCGTGGAAGTGAGTTTTGTTTTTTACTTAAAAAATAATTGATCTTCTGTTTTTCAGGCTGAGCACCGGAGAAGGGGACGGAGCGTGGTGTCCGGCCGCACCGGTCTTCCCCAATGAGTCAGAGTACCTTCAGGTCAGTTTCTCTGTTTAGTCAGTGTTTCTTACTTATCTGTGGGAATAACAACAATAACTCAAAGGGATTCAAGCACTTACAAAAACCACTTGCTGCTTTCTTGATTTTGAATTAAAGTCAACTCACAGAAATAAAAACCCATTTTTTAAAAAGATATTTTCAGTCATTTGTAATTTCTTTTAAGAAAAAAAAGATGTAAAGCGTAAATCAAATTTGATGTATCCCTCCTTGTTTCATTCTTTAAAGGAGGAAATTGCACAAATGTGTGCTAGCATGTGCAGGACACAAACACTCACCAAATCCAGCAGATGCTTTCATTCTCAAAGTTAAAATCACATTGAATAAATCTTACAATGTAACATTAACATTCATTACTGATAAATTAGAATATTTTAATACAAGGAACAATTTTTGCTTTTCTATTATTACATAAAAGTAATTTGAATATGTTTCTCCTTTCATTTTTTTGTGTAAATATTATGAAATAAAGATTCATAGCTCAGATATTTGTGGCTAATTTTAGCTTTGATGTTAGCCAATTAAAAATTGTATTTAAGAACTATAGTTAGATGTATTACAAATATTTTTAATCAGCTTTTCCTGCCATAAACCGTCATTATTTATATTAGGAGCAGAAGTGGCGTCACACTGTGTGCAAGAGAGTAGTTACCAAAATAGTAGTTGCTATTTTTGAAGCTGAGTTGACATTCAGCACCTTAGTGATTAGTGCAGGATATAATGATCATTACAAACTATAAACAACAATCTCTGTCTGTGTTCTCCAAATATTGTTGCTGCCGAAATGAACAGCTGATTGCTTTTAAAGAGTTTTATATAATTTCATGACTAGATTTTCAAACATCTTGCTTCATTTTGTTCAGCACTGCTTGATTGCACCAGTCATTTCAAGATGTTGTGTTTTTCCATGGTCGCTCTCTTATTTGTAATACAGTGCTTATTTGTTCATTACTTAACCAGTAATGTGTGGCAATTTATCATGGTGTTTTAGGACTGAAAATAAATGGCTTCACCTGCGTTTATGAGCTGACTTTCCTGCTCTTCATGTTTTTAAAAATTCTCCCCTGAAGTGAAGCTATTGCTGCAGAAAAGTTTTTTTGTTGTGGTGGGTGGAAAACCACCATGTGTTTTAAACATTTTGCTGGTTCTACTTTACAAATCCCCAATGGCCAATGTAGCTACAATGTAAAAAAAAAACCCTACAACTTAATCCAAGTAATATCGCTAACTAATTGTTATGTGCTCCCTTAGCAATCACTGAGAGTTGGTGTTAGATTAGATGAGCAGAAAGGATCATTTAGCTTTAATTGATTGTTTGGATAAATGGTTAAATGGTCGCCCTGCTGATAGAAGAAGACTGCAGAGGATGAAACATTTCAGGTTAATTTTTTTATTTTATACCATAGTCAGTATTTCTCATTGCTCATTCTTGTAAAATGAAGTGTTGCTAAAATCAAAATTAAAATAATTCACAACTTGATGCGAAAGGAAAAAGATGCACATTTTCTTGAGAATATTAGCGAACAAGCAGCAGGGATGTTTAAAACAGATTAAGTAAGCAAGAAATTTTATACCTCTGGCAGATTATTTTAATTATTGACCGTTTGTAATTACGTCACTTAATCAGGCGCCATGATGGACGTTGGAAGTGATATTGAACAGAGCAACTGAAAATATTTTCCAAAGTTGTTTTCCTCAGTTTTTTCATGGCTTTTACTTGTTCAAGTCAAACTAATTTATCTGAGAACTTAACAAACCCGGTTGGGGCTCAGAGACGGCGGCGGTATTTACAAAAGTTTTGAAAAGCAAGCTTAGAACCCGACCCGAACCTCCTCCCTCCTGAGGTGTCGCTCAAATTACCGACTTTGTCTGAATTCACAGCACATGATTTATAGCATAGTCATAATCGGCGTTTCTCCTTACAGCAGAGCAGCATTAAAATCCTACAAAAGACGAGATGCTACCCAGTTTTTTCCTTACATGCGAGGCTACATGACGGTGCTGCACTGTCTCCAAACAAGAAAGGGTGAAAATGTTAGTTTCAGGTTAAACAATACTGAAAAATACCACAACCTTGTGGCTGTAAGTTTATTTTTGAAAGATTTGAAACACTATTTTTCTTTCACTTCCCAATTATGCACCATTTTGTGTGGTATGTCACATAAAGTCCCCTAAAAAATTGAGCTTTATTGCTCCAATATGAATAAATATGATACTTTTAAAAAGCACTGTACATGTTTTTCACCAGAAAAAGCAGCATACTACATACTACATGCTTGTAGTTTGAAAGCGTAATCTGATGGAGCATTCCTCCATTGTAACTCTATCTACTTTTTAAATGGGAAACAGTTGTTTTATGATGTCAGACAAATATGTAAACTTGGAGAGTTGGACAGGTTTAGGATTCTATATTTCAGAAAAACAAGCCATGTGATTTCAAGGAGCACGTACTATGCAAAATTTACATTTTGTACCTTTTTGTATTTTCATTTGGGTCTCAACTCGTTCAGCACATTAAAAAAAAACACTCAGGTGTTTGTTGGCAATAGGTTTTTGTTTTTAGACTCCAGCAAAGGAGCTGTTTCAAAAACCTTCGAAATGTAAAGTCACAAATCAGGAGGCACTGCCCCTTACCTAGCAACCCAAGCAGAGCTAAAGCACGTTTGGGCTGCTGCTTTTTTTGCTGTACAATTCCTGCTGGAAAATATAAGTGAATTGTTGCTGACTTACCTTTAACTTGCTGCATTCTGGTTAGTTGTGGTACTGGTTTTCTAAAATGTTTGGTTGAATAATTGTCTAGTTGGCAGCCATTTTCGTGTGTGAGTGTAAACATTGAGTTGGGAGGCATGGAAGCCATAAAACATAAAACAGTCAGAACAACTGACCAGACTAAAATCTAATCATCTAAGAATGATTTTGTGCCAACAATGTAATAAACATTTTCTGTCCTGACCTGTTTAAGGAAACCTAATAGGTCACCTTTAAAAAGAAGCAGGTGGAGAAGAAAGAAAATACAGAAATAATAAATAACTTATTTTAGACTGCAAAGGTTTTGAAAGATGACTTGTTCTAGGACACTTGTTAATGATGCATTTCCTGTAGATTGACCTCCACAAACTCCACTTCGTGGCTCTGGTTGGTACCCAAGGTCGGCACGCTGACGGTCACGGCCAAGAGTTTGTCCGCAGTTATCGGCTCCGTTACTCCAGAGACGGAAAGAAATGGATCACTTGGCAGGACCGCTGGGGACAAGAGGTCAGTCAGCAGAATTTCATCCATCTAAGGAAAGTGTTTCATTAATTACACCGGGACAACTCTGTACACAAGTGCAAAAAAGTGAATGTCAGAAGGAGCCTGAGGATGAGCTAAATTATTGAAGAGAAATTGATCCACGTCTTCAGGCTGTTGAATATTAATGCTCTTTACCTGACTGTTTTATTTATAGCTAATCATTGATTGCTGTTGTGAAGATAAGCGCAAAGAAAACCTTAAGTTTCAGCATTCGGCACATGTTAAGTGTTTTCCTTGTCGATAAGCTCGACTCTGGGTTTCTGGGAATCCAGACCCCATTAAACACCGTCTAGACGAGGAGTCACTCACTTTGTTCTCCACTATCAGTTGTCGTCTGATATCAACTCGATCTTATTGGTCAGAAGGTCCTCAGCATTTCCAGACATGTTCATGAAGTTATATTTGTCTGACTGGGACAACATGTCCAAGTGTCTCCAGTCACCCAGTCCTGGCAGAGTTTCTGATTGTGGAGCAAAATGATGTACGTCCATCCATCTATCAGTCAGTCCATCCTTTCATCTATCCATTACTTTATCCGTCTGTCTTTTCATCCATCCATCTATCTTCCCATCACGCAAGTTGTCTTCATCCATCTGTCTTTGCATCCATTCATCAGTTCATCCGTTTACCTTTTATCCATCCTTTGGCTTTTTCTATCCATCCGACCATCATCCCTTGGTTTGTCCTCATCCATCGTGCATTTGTATCCATCTGTCCATCCTGTCAATCCATTCATCCATCCATCATCACTACCATTCTTTTCATCCATCCATTAGTCCATCCATCTAAATATCTTTTCATTTTTCCTCATTCCCCCATTTTCCATCCATCATTGTTGGCTTTTTCATCCATCCATCCATCCATCCATCCATCCTCCATCCATCCATCCATCCATCCATCCATCCATCCATCCATCCATCCATCCATCTGGTTAAAAAACGTTGTTCATATTTTATCAAATGAGGACTCTCTCTCTAAAATCAGTATTTTTCATGTTTTTGGAAACTAAAAAGAAAAGTTAATTTTCTAAATCGATAGAACTGGAAGCTGCCCAAAATAAAAACATCTTAGCCTCCAGGCGGGATCAAATAGGAAGGAACCAACAGGGTGGTGCATCATGTAATTGAGTATTTGTGCTTTTCCCCTCTCCAGGTGGTGTCAGGCAATAAGAACACCTATGAAATTGTGCTGAAGGACCTCGGCCCCCCGATTGTTGCCCGTATGGTCCGGTTTTACCCCCTGGCTGACCGAGTGATGAGTGTTTGCCTTCGGGTGGAGCTCTACGGTTGTGTGTGGAATGGTAAGTATGTGGTGATAGAAACAGACAAATTCTTTGCTTTTCTTATCATCTGGTGTGCGTATTTGAGGCACGGCGGCTCGATCTTGATAAGTTTGATTATGTTGAAGGTGACTGAGTTTTCCTTCTTCTTAGATTTAATTTCATATCAGATGGTAATGATTACTAGTACGTGTTTGTGCAGCCTCTAAGGGGTTCGCCCAGAGAAAAGAAGCCACAGCCTGATGAATGATGTTGGTTTTTGTGAAGCACAACGCTGAGTATTTATGACTGGTTCATCTCCTTTCCTGCCCCCATCCAGAGACAGAGCGGGGTGCTCTGTAAATCACAGTCGTCAGTGAGACCCGGTTCCTGCTCCTTGCCTTCAGGGAGAGCGTCGCTCTAAAAAAAAAAAAAAAGATCCTCTGCGGTCTCAGGGGTGCAGCAACTCGGTTCAACTTCAGGCCACAGATTATGCAGAATCTAATGAATGTCAGGCTTTTTTTCCCCCACACATTATGTAATCACAAATCAGTATACAGAGGTGACTGCTCTTTCTAGTGTTTGTTTAACATTCAGAGAGAAGCTGCCCGACCCTCAGACAGTCATTCATGTGCCTGAAGAGCATGCTGCAGTGTAATACGCTGTGAAGTGTTGTTTATTATGGATAGCAGAGGTTGTAGCCGCTGTTGCTCTCACCGACCAGCCTGATTAGCAGCCGTTTGTTACAGCGGCGAGGTCATCTGGGTTAATGCATGCCAGGGATGAAGAGGTCCAATAACATGACCTCCCCATGTTGTTGGACAGTCGCTTTCCAGCGACTGTCTGGACAAGATCAAAAACACACAGATGAGGCATAACATTATGACCACTGACAGGTGAAACAAACAACACTGAACATCTCTTTCTGGCCCTTGCTGTGAGTCAACTAAGTAATTGATTTTTCTATCAATTTATTGTAACGATTAATTGGATACAATCATTTGTTTTATTTAACCTCTCAAATACATTAAAAGATGAAAATACAGTTTGATTCCCTTTTAAATAAAATGTTACTGCCTAAAATGCAATATTACAGCATGTGATATATTTTTCAGCCCTATGCTAATGTCTGATAGCCACCGCTTGACGTTGGCACATTGATGTTTAATGCAATGGTAGCCAAAATATATTTGATAAAAGCACAATTTAAGTTATAATCTGGTGTAAAAGCCCTGAAGAATTTGAATATTTTAATGAAAGAGCCAGACACGTCGCCTTTGCTCCAGGGTGTATTATTATCTCAGTTAGCTTCCAAACATTCACAATGATTTCAGAGTTTAACAGTATGGTAACTAGCAACGGCGCTGACAGTGGAGCTAGCAACAGAGCTAACAACAGAGTGTGTCAAAAATATACTTACCAGCTTTCCAAAAGTTAAACTAATTTACAATCGTACAGGTGTGTTTATATAGGGGAATATTTTATTGAAAGAGCCAGATACGTCTCAAGCGCTAGATTCCCCCTGCTGGTTGCATTTGACCACTACATTAGCCAAATCAGGCTAGGCATTAACATCTTTAGCCAAACTGCTGGCAAAGCATTACAACCACAAAGACTAAATGTAACTCAAATAGTAAATGTACCTCTGAATGGTAAATTAACAAACTTCCATCCATCACACTATCACCGCGGTGCTAAATTTGACATCCTGTTTGTGCATCACCAAATCAAAACGATGCGATTTGAATAGCAAAATATTTGGAAACATAACAGAAAGTTGTAAGAGACAATGCTTTCTTTCTAAAACTACCTGAATAATATATTGTAATTGTGTTTTCCCAGATGGATTGAACGCTTACACGGCTCCGGTGGGACACGTCATGAACTTGCCCGGCATGCCGGTCTATCTAAACGACTCCACCTATGATGGCAGCACAGAACAAGGGTACGATATTCAGCTGCCTCTCTGTTTCTACTTTTACACATGAGAAGACGATAACTCTTCCCCATTGACTCCCACTGATTAAACGTTTAAGAAAAGATCTGGTGCTTGTCACATCTGCTCAAACTAAAAGGTGTTTGGTTTTCAGTCCACCTAATCAGCAGAGAATAGCATTATTTTTCTTAGTCGCTCAGGGATTTGAGGCGTGTTTTCAGACCATAATGTTTGGCAGTGGGCAATGAGGGGTAAACCAGGAATTTAGGGTGGTTTGAGTTGTCCACACTTTTACAGGCTGTGCAGTTAATGGAGCTGAAATGTTTTTCTAACGGGTGAGCGTGCTCTTTTGATGTGATCCAGACGTTTTTCTAGCAGATTCAGGCACATCTGTGGGTGAAGGGGTCCTATTGTTGACCCTGTTGTGCTCCTTTGAGCCTGCTGGGATGTATTTCTGCTGTTGATTTATATTTTTGCATGTGCATCTGTAGGTTTTTCCTCTTAATTTGCTCCCATTGCTGCTGCTTGAGTCTGTTGTTTCTGTGAAAATGATGCGTTAATGATACTGTGTGTGTTTAGGATGCAGTTCGGAGGCCTTGGCCAGCTCTGCGACGGCGTCCTGGGAGGAGATGACTTCATAGAAACGAAGGAGCTGCGGGTGTGGCCGGGGTACGATTACCTTGGATGGAGCAGAGAGGCCCTCGGGCAAGGCAGCGTGGACATCGAGTTTCATTTTGAGAAACCCAGACGCTTCAACAAGATGCAGGTGAGGACAGACACATTGATTTGGGATGATGGTGTATGAATAAATTAGCATTAAAGGAGTTTATGAAACAGAAAAATATGCAAAAGCTTGTAGTAAGGAGAGAAAAGTAGTTCTGGTTATTGACATTAATGCTGTGCATGCAGACAGTTTATTTGGCCAGTTATTCTAAAATCTAAAGTAGTTTTTTTTAAAAGTACTTAGACAGCAAAGCTTGAATAAAATTGTCCAAGAACCAATCCAAGCATTCATTATGTGTTTTCCCCATATGTAACATAACAGGGCCTGCTTTATTAAAATGCACAGGCAGCAGCGTATCTGGTAATAAATTATTCTATGGTATCCCTATGTCTGAAATTGTAAATATTTCTTGGCTTTGTCCTAAGTCTTCCGGTTGCTGATGAAATTCCTTTGACATTCTCATATTCCAGCCTTATTGTTTTGGCTTTGTTAATCAGCCTCCAGCTTCATTTTGGCTGGAATCGCTCTGCGGCCATGTAATTAGTTTGGATGTGCCACAGTTTGTGTCGGGACGGTGCATCTGTGCTCGTCTCTCTAGGAGCCACTGAGTTGCATCAGAGTCTGTTTGTGCGTCTGTGTGGCTTTTGGGGTTAGTTTTTGGAGCAACCATGGAGATAATGATATGAAGCAACCCAGTTTGAGTTATAACTGTGTTGTTGTATTGGACGAGGGTTGGAATGTCGGTTTGGGTGAAACAAACTCTTCGTGTACATATTGAAAAGTGAATTTACAGCCAGTAATCGCGCAGAAAAACCCAATTATTTTCAGTGTTCTCAGCAGATTTATGCTACAAGTGTTCGGTATTGTCCTACTTTACCTCAGTTACCATTTGAAATATGTCCCAGCAGGGTTATTATTGTTTTTCCAAGACTTATCCAGCTTTTCCTGGCTTTTCCCCGGTGGTTTTCCCACACTAACCTCAGCTGACATATACTGTTATGCTTGCCTGACTGAGCGGATATGTCAGGCGCACAGGTCAGATAAATAAAGAGTGGGAACCTGAACCCAATTCTTGGTTGACTTGTCTCTGCTGGACAGAGTTCCCTAACCTGTGGCTAATCACCTTCCCAAACGGGAAATCTGCTCTGCCCTTTGACAGTCGTGGCACTCTTGGATCTGCTTTTTGTCGAGCTTCAGATACTTTGGGGAATATTTTGGAGCGTTTTACTTTTTTTTTTTTTGTCAGTGCTCTTAAAACTGAGAAGAAAGATCAGAGAGAATCCTTTATGAACGCTGGATTTATGATGAATAAAGTTAAGCATAATGAATGCAGAGCTGTTCCCTAAGAGAGAAAAATGCCTTTTGCAGGTCATTGGAGCTATATTCCCTACTGTGGTAGTGAGTTACTTGTTACTCTCGTACAGCCATGATTCGTTGCACGCACCAAATGTTGTTCCTGCTTACACATCATCCGAGCATCTGGTGCAGCTGGACGTCTTGCATCTTGTGTGTTTGAGCATGAACATGTGGATTAGATTAGCTGCTGCAGTGTGTGAGGTTAACAGCCAACCTGTCAAAGCAACCTCTGCACCAACTCCTCTATCTCCAAAGGAAAATAAAAATCCACCTTTTTCCTTCTTAATTTTCCGTCTGATCTTGAGTTTCGACCTCTCACTTACTCCTTTTACCATCGACATCCTTTTCTCATCTCCTTAGCTTCCTCCTCATCCTCATATACCAGAGCAGATTTACAGAGAAAATCTGTTTTAGACAGGAACTGTGTTCCTGTCTAAGAAAGAAATTAAAATAATTGACAGGGCGTGCAAGGGCGTGCGAGTCTTCAGCAAAGTAGAGTGTCTTTTCAAGCCTGGCCTCCTTCAGCCCTGGTCTTCTCCGGCGCTCACCCTGCCGGTTCCCCTCGAAGATCTGAAGGACCCCTCTTCACGACCCATCTCCCTCCCACTTGATGGCCGGCCGGCTCAGATCCTCCGCTGCAAATGGTTAATATCTTTGTGATATTAACCATCATGGTGTGTTTACTTTACATCTGAGTTGTGGGCTGGTCACCTTTCATTTCCCATCTGTACTTGTAGATGATGTAGAAAATGCAGTTTTCTTTTAAAAAGCTTCTTGCATCCTCAGACTTTATCATTAGGGTTTTTTCACTCTTGATAATCCAGTAGACTCAGTTCAAAGAGACCAAAACTGGAACATTTGTTTCATTTTCAGCTGCAGCCGTTCGCTTTCACACTGCTCTGTGCCAAATGAACCAAACTAAATGAATGACCTGTTGGCCCACCTCGCTTGTTTTGGTTGCATTTACCCAGAATGCCCTGTGCTGTAGTCCGCTCCCTGCTTTTGGAGCATTGCCTGGTTGGTGTTCACATATGCATGCGAATTGCGCCAGAGTTCACTTCAATGGAACCGAGACCAAGGTTTTAAGGTGAACCAGAGTTCACCAGAAACTTACTTTGATTGAACATTAATCACTCCTCAAACAAACCGGATCTTCCAGACGACCAAACTATATTTGGATTAGAATGGACTGGAGTGAATTGACCCTCAAACACCCAGTAATTGCTGAAAAGAGACAGCAACTTTAGTTCGTTTCTACTCATCAAGAGTACTGGAGAGGATTGTTTGTGTTCGGGGATGGTGTGTTTACTGATCAAAAAAGATTGGATTTTTGGGTATCTGATCGGTCACCAGTCAATTTAGCAAAATAAATAATATCAATCTTTGGTGGCCAGCTGAGTTTTTTCGGTGACTCTAGTCTTTGTTGATGCTTTTTTCCATTACTGCCTTTGTTATTTAGTTCATCTGCAGTCCTGCTCTGTGCTTTTCATGCCAAAGCAATTACAGTTTAACAGAATGAAAATGTGTCATTAATTTAGGGTCTTAATTTAATCTTTTCCAGCCTCTCTCCTCATTATGAATAACAAACATCCCAGAGTTTGCTGTGTGTTCGAGCTCATTCACATGCATAGTTAGTAGATTTTTGATTGCATCTCTTTCCCTCTTGATCTTTATCTTTTACGGCTCGTATTTTTCTCTTGGATTCAGGTTCACAGCAACAACCGGCACACGCAGGGCGTGCGAGTCTTCAGCAAAGTAGAGTGTCTTTTCAAGCCTGGCCTCCTTCAGCCCTGGTCTTCTCCGGTGCTCACCCTGCCGGTTCCCCTCGAAGATCTGAAGGACCCCTCTTCACGACCCATCTCCCTCCCGCTTGGAGGCCGGCCGGCTCAGATCCTCCGCTGCAAATTTTACTTTGCAGACCGGTGGTTGCTCATCAGTGAGATATCATTTCTCTCTGGTAGGAAAACAAACTCAAGCAGTTTTGTTTGACTTATTTCAGATAATTGGCTCCCTCCTCGTTCAGAGCCGCCGTGTTTCTGTACAGAATCTGCACTGATATCATAGATGCTCTGGCTTTGCATATATTCCCATAAACCATGAAGCTATTTTATATACTTGACTTTTTCTGCAAAATATGAATATTACAAACATTTCAAATGTTTATAGTTTCTTTTTCACAGTAAAAAGTTGTCAGAATCGGCTTCAAAAGCAAGAAAGCAAAATCCAAACAATTTGAAATATCAAGATAAATGTTGTTTTCTGGTTTCTGGTCTTGAAGATACTCTTCAAAGAAAATAAATTAAGTGAGTGGGTTTTGTATTACCAATGGAAGTCAACCAGTGTTTAAAGAAAGATTATGCTGACCTTTCAAAATAAAACTCATTTATGTCAAAATAAAAAATGTTTTCAAATGATTGTCCTGTAAAGGAAATCATCAACGTTTCAACATTACTGACTATTCTAAGCTAGTTAAAGTTGCAGGATATTATTAGATACACATGTGGTCATCTCATTTAAACTTTACATCTCATTTAAACTTTGCAAAGAAACATAAAAAGTCTTAAAAATAAGTTTTATTGCTTCATTGGTTTGATTATTGCAGCTTCCACATTACGTACTACAACCAATTAAGTGAGACCAGTGAGTCTTTTTAAAATAAAGCTCTTGTGTTCTCTAAAAGTTTCAAATAGGTTATTTTATTGCACAGCTATAAGATGATTCTACTGGCCTTACAAAATAAACTTTACAAATGTCTTATAAAATAAAGTAATTCATTTTACGGTCAAGTTTTGTCCCACATTCATGAGTGGGAGGAAACCCCAACACTGTGCATGTTGGATCTAAAACATACAATTATCTATCAGGCTCCATTTTGCTACTTTAATTTGTAATTCCTGGTGTTAAAATGTTAGATGTTTGTCAATGCAAACATTGACAAACAATGTCAACGTTATAAACTGTTTCATTTGGAATTTATTATAGAAAATGTTTCAAAAAATACATTCAGTTTAAGTCTCAAATGCAGTGCTGCAGATGTCCAGCAGGTTCATGATCAACAAAGTAAAAGACACTTAAAATTCATTATTACATAAACTATGTTTTAAATACCAAGCTCAGTATTGCAGACTGTAGGGTTTAATAACATTTGCATGAGAAGCAGCAAGGAATAAAACTGAGCGTCTTCGTTTAATGAAGCCAATTATTTTGATAAAAGTTCTTCTCCCGTTGATTTTTATTTTGCAAGTGTCAGCATTTGCATGCAAGGTCTTTATGGTTGTATTTATATCAAAATGTTTTAATGTAATACCTACAACCTTTCTGGTACGGTCGTCTCTTCGTAGAGCTACAATGACCATGCAACAATTAATCTTTACACACCTCTTTATCATGCTGCAGTTTCAGTTCGGGGAAAAAGTTGTTCTTCCATACATTGACCTCCTTGCCTTTTTTTGTTTTGAAGCCAAAGTACCTGGGGTGAAAGATTTATTACTCACTGACCAGAAGTCAGCTATAACCATCTACACTGCAGCTGAGATAACAGTGGATAATTAAACTGTCCGTTGTGTCAGCTCTAATGTGATAACAGCAAAGTCAGGTCCCTGAATAATTTGACCCAGCAATGTCCAGTTTGTCGACTTGAATCATGCAGATAATAAATTAGTTTTTGAAGAAACGTTACGCCTGTCCAAATGTCTGAATATCAGAATAACAGATCAGTAAAACATGTCTGCTGTATTAACTCCAGAAAGAAGAAATTCAGCTCCAGTAACTTTAACTTGAGTGAAAAACCATGATAAGTAAATTATAAACACGTAATCATTGAGGAAGAAGATGGTTCCTATAAACTATACGTGTCAAACTCAAGGCCCAGGGGCCAAATTTGGCCCACTGCATCTTTTTATGCGGTCATCTAGACTCTAGATGCCAAATCAATCAGACCCTCCAGTTTGTCTGTGATTGGTGAAATTCACACACATTTGCGAGCTTATTGCAAATGTAACACAAAAATAATCAAACCCACTGTGTTAAAGTGGGTTTATGTAATAAACCCATACGGTCGTCACTTAATATGTTCTCTTATTATGTAGAGAACATATTAAGTTCTCTGCATAATAAGAAGTAGAGAACTTAATATGTTCTCTACACTGCTGCCTGAATTCAGGTTACAGTTTGTCATAGATATAGTTTATTGACTCTAAAACACTCAGACACACATAAGTTGTTACACTCAATCAACACCCCAACTGCAAATAAAACTAAAAATAAAATAATTAATGCATTTATCTTATACGTTCAGCTTATATGACACAGCAGGTAACAAAATGTTACACTGAGTGTCGTTCATAAAAGCTTCCTTTGAAATTCCTTTCAAATATTTCTAATTGGCACCACAAAATCGGTCATTTTGATTGCCAAAAATCACAAAAACAATCACACAATCCTGGAGGCACTGAATAATGTGAAAAGATTTTCAATAATTCAATTGTAAGAAGAACTAATTGAATGCAAACACTGCTATTTGTTAATAATTTAACAGTTTAACGGATTATTAATAGAACATTCATGACCTTGTGAGTTTGACACTTGTTCTATAAACCCCCAATGATCCATCCAGGATTTCAATCAGTCAGAATTAAATAATCCATTCTGTTGTCCACTTCCCAGCTCTTCTCCCTCTGTTAGCTACAACCCTGATGCTAAATAGTGAGCTAACAAAGGCAGCTGGAGAGTTAGTGAGCAAACACAATCCATCATTCTTGTTGAAAAGCTTTGCATTACCTCCTGATCCTGAACAGCAGTCACTGTTTCTGCTCTGATGAAATACTTTCAAATGTTGCTGAGATCATGTATGTCAGGTTTCTATTGACATATAAGGTGAGTAGAAAGGATAAAAATCTGAGGATCCCTTGTTGTGGTCATCTGCTAAAAATATCTCGTTTTCTCTCAGCCTGGATGAGCTGCAGACATATCTCAATATGTTGTGCAAAAATAGTTTTCTTTAAAACACCTTCTTACATGTTTGCAAGAAGTTAACTTTGAGTTTTCCCTCAGTAACAAGTCGTTCTCTCTCTTGTTGGAAAACCAGGGCTATATGTATTTTGTCTGTAATTCACTTTTTCCCCTTTGTTTTCTCCATATTGTGCGAATCCAGAACCATTTGAAGAGGATGAGACGGACGCTGATCTTCACAATCATCGAAAGCCTCCGGACCCGAGTCCGACTCCTCTGGGGAATGTCACCACCTCTGTTCCCACATCGAGCCGCGGCTCATTCAGCACCAGCTCCAAGCCTTCTGGTAGGTTTGGGTCAAGTTTCTGATCCTCACTTGACAACATCCTGCCTTTTTCTATCCTTCTCTTCCTTTCATCTTTTCTTCTTTTATTTCTTTCCACTCTTCTCCCTTGTTTTTGTGCCCATTTCTTTTTCTTCTACTGTGGCGACTGCAATTATGAGTTTCACAAAACTATGAATTACATTTTATTCTGACATCAGGTTATTTTCAGATTCTTATTTTATGATAATTTTGGAAAACTGAAGACAAAGACAACAATTACCATCACAAGGAAGCTTTTACACCATCAGTGTGGTTGTTAAAGGGGACATATTATGAACAATTTACATTTTGCATTTTTTTTTGAGAAGGTGTAAGATGTGTAGCAAAACTCAACTGGCCAGGACTCCAACCTGTGATCGTCACGTCAAGAACTGAGGCCTCCTTATGGGTCGAGCACTTTATCCGTGCCCACATTTTGCACTTTTTTATACTTCCATTTGGGTCTCAATTGCTTCTAGAATCAGAACAAGCACTTAGAAAAACCATCCAGTCACATTTTGGCAATAAGTTAATGTTTTTCATTGTCTGGAAAATGAGTCGCTTCAAAAACCTTCATAATGTTACATAACACTAATCAGCAGACCCTGCCCCTCACTTAGCAACCCCAGGCTGTTACCTGGCAACCCAGGTGAAGTTCCAGCACATTTGGTCAGCTGGTTTTACCGCTGCATTCATTGTACAGTAGCTGCTGAAAAAGACAAGTATTTGGTTGGCGACTTACCGTCCAGAAACCACGTGCTGCATCCTTGTTGGTTGTGCAGGAGGCTCTACTTCTGCTTTTCAAAAATTTATAGTTGGGTTATTCTGCATCTGTTTGCAGCCAATTTCATGTATGATTGTAAATGTTGAGTTGGGGGCGTCGCCAGTAGCAGCTTATTTGAATTTAAAGTGACAAGTCGCCCTAAAACTGCTCATTCTGAAAGGAGCTCACATAAGGTTCTAGAGTGAAATCTCATTATCTAAGAAATATTTTGTGCAAAAATATAAAATGAACGTGCTTTGTATTGGCCATAGTCCTATCCTGACCTGGTCAAGGAAGCATCTTTAAGAGATTTTTGCTGAGACAGATAAAAATCCCTCTCATCCCTCTTCTTTGAGCCTTCATCATCTCTCCTCTCACACTTTCCTCCCTTGTTCATCCCTCGCTCCTCCAGAACCCCCCACCACCACCACCCTCATGATGGACACCACTGCTAACTGGACACTGTCAGGTGAGAGAGCGCACCAAAGGAGATTCTCTTTTTTCATTTTCTTAAAAAAGAGACGGAGAAGGAGGTCAGCTCTATTTGCGTTGGCTCTCCTCCGGTAGCTTCAAAAAACCTGTCTGCTGTGCTATGTACACAGTTTGCTGTACAATAATGGAGCAGGGATTAGAGGGACAGGATTTGGCACTGGGCTCTGTCCCCAGAGTTGGAAGATAAACAGCACGAGGAAACAACTCTTAACGCAGCCATAGTAAATTATATTTGCATCCAATAACATCTTGGCTTCCTGTGGTCTCACAAACTGCATGTTTTGTTGGCGAGCTGGCTCTGTTCTACACAGCTAAACAATAACAGGCTTTAAAAAAATGAAAAGAGCTGGAAATGGTTTTCTATGTCGTGTTTGCTGCTTTGTACTTTTTACTGGATGTGGTTGGATGGCTTTGTCTGGGTTTATTTATTACCCGCATGGTGTTCAAGTGACAGAGAGAGAGAGATGCAGGAACACTCTTATGTTCTGACAGACTAATGTTTAAAACACTCGCTGGTAAATCTGGATTTCTAAATAAATTTGCATGGTTTGCTATGTTCTTGTCTACACATAGGTTCAACAAATGTTGGATACATCCAGTGCTGTAAACACAGATTATGTTTTCTGTTTTTGACTTTTGGTGCCACTGTTAAATGTTTCATACCATCAAATTTATTTAAATATCAAGTCTAGTTGATTTATAGCACATTTCAGCAGCAAGGCAGTTCAAAGCGCTTTACACGATAAAAACACAACACAGTAACAAATTATAAAATGAGCAATAAACATTACATTTTGGCAGAGGGACATTGATCAAATGTATTGATCAATGTTCCACTTAGTACTAATCAAAAACAACCCTGAGATGACCTGAGTTTGAGATGACAAAAAGCAGTTTTTAAATTCCAAAAAAAACAAACTATTTCTGTGGAGCTTCCTGCATCCACTGATAGGCCTGGACAATAAATCAATACAATTTATCATGGTGGACAAGTGATCAATATCGGGAGATAATATGCCTGATAGAATATTCACTGAACTATGATCCAGAACAGCTTGGCATTCTGGGAGATATTGGCAGAGAAAACTCTTTAGCTGCTCAAACTTGGTCAATTGAGGCCAGCTTGTCAAAGTTGGTGGCCTCAACTACCTCACTCACTCTTTGGTTACCTAGCAACTCACTCACTCTTTGGTTACCTAGCAACTCACTCACTCTTTGGTTACCTAGCAACTCACTCACTCTTTGGTTACCTAGCAACAACATGTTGAGTAACTGACACTGTTCCTCATAAACCAGGGGTGTCAACATCCAGTCCTCGAGGGCCGGTGTCCTGCAACTTTTAGATGTGTCTCTGCTGCACCACACCTGAATAGAATAATTAGGTCATTAGCAAGGCTCTGGAGAACAAGGAGGAGGTAATTAAGCCATTTCATTCCAGTGTTTTGTACCTGTGGCACATCTAAAAACTGCAGGACAGCGGCCCTCGAGGACTGGAGTTAAAATGAAGAAGCAACGATTCTGTAATGAAAACTGTGGATAAATCAGAAAAGGTCACGGCTTTGGCAGCAGATCAGATATTTAAAACCAGAAAGTAAGTAATAATTATCTATTGACTGATATGAAGTGTCTATACATTTTTCAGCCATATTGCCCAGCCTTAAATCACCTCTTAAAACTCTATTAGACCTCGGATTACATGTAGATTTCACCACAATCCAGAGGAAAATTGGTCTTATTTCATTCAACAATGAAAAAAGACCTCCATTGCCTCAGTCGACATGAAAGGAGAAAGAAACTGGATTATTCTAATTATTACTTGGCTACAAAGCTACTTAGAAGTGAAACAGCACGGACACACTGCTCCCTGAGCAGCGGGGTACGGGAGGCTCTGGGTTATGGTGAATATTGAAGCAGTCGGTCCCTATCAGATGTGCAGTAAGCCTGGTGTGCCTGTGCTGGTGTGTGACCCTCCTCCCCCTGTGAGAGTGTGACTCCTCTGAGAGCGCTGATGTTTGAAGGCTCTTCAGTGCACTAGCTTATGCCACACTCTGGTTATAAATCCACAAACCCACACAGTGACTGAATACACAGAGCTCCAGAATAATTCAGAAAACTGTTTGGCAATATGAAGGTCTCTCTCTCTCTCTCTCTCTACTGCTACTTAAGTCACATTACTTCATAAAAATAGCCTTAAAGGAACAAAAGCATCCTACTTACTGCTTCTTTTTTATTTAGTGATTATGTTATTGTGTCAAATGGTTCTGTTAAAGCTTATACTCCTTCTTGAAGTTTTCATAACCCTTGAGTGGTTTCACATCATGTAACATCATGACCAAAAACTTCAACACCAATACAGAGCACTGGAATCACTTTCTCAATAAAAGTCAGAGCAGCAAACCGTGCCTTTGTATTCAGCCTCTCTGAGTCAGAACTTTGTCAGTCCTTTTTAGTTGAAATCACTTCCAGCTTTGGAAGTGATTTAAGTGGTCTGGATTTGGTCTGAACTTTGACTTTTTAATACGGTGACATTAAAAAAGGAAAAACAAACTAAGTGTTTAATGATGGAACAGGCAACTAGTATCTAGACCTCAGATTCCAGCTCCTTACTTTGGGTTTGGGTGTACGGCCATGTCTTAGAACCGATAAGGGGGACATGTAATGCAAAATTTACATTTTGCATGATTTATTTTACTACTATTTGGGTCTTAATTGATTCTGAAAGCAGCCCTATCACTAATGAAAACACACCTGGCTGTTTTTTGGTGATAAGACTATGAGAAAAATGAGTAATTTCAAAACCCTCCAGATTGTTGAGTCAGATTCAAAAGGGACTGCATTGTTACCTAGCAACCCCAGCCAAGCCAAGCTTTGTTACCGAGCAACTCACTCGAGTTCCAGCACCTCTGGTCAGCTGGTTCTACCACTGTGTGCGCCGCACAATGGCTGCTGTTGAGTGTTGTTGACTTCCCTTCAGAAACCACTTGGTGCGTTCTTGATGGTTGCGCATGAGGTTCTACTTCTGCTTTTCCAATATGTATAGTTGTACAATTACACATCTGTTTGATGTGTAACTGTACATCAGCTACACATCAAAAGTTAAGTGTGTAAAAGTTAAGTTTCTTCTGTTTGTAAAGCATAATTTTCTGTTCACTTCTTTGTGTTAGTCTGGGACATAAAAATCTAATACCATACAAAATTAGGAAAGCCGGTATGCCTTTGAAGTTCAGGGCAAAAGTATTTGGAAATGGGATAATGTTGCATTTTATGGTGCAAAATGTAAGAAATTTAGAAATAAAATCACAAGACCATGTAATATATTGACCTTAAAGACTGGGAGAAAAATTCTTTGAGTTTTTTTTGCAATTTTGTCCAACACTAAAAAGGGGAAAGTCCAAATTCTCAGCTGTCACAGAATGCAGCATAACTTTGTTGCTTTGATGAACTAGTGAATAAACTGTGGTCATTCACAGAATAAAGCAGTAAACAGAACTAAATCATCATTTCCTGGATATTTTTCTGTGGTTAGACTTGAAAGCACGTTCACTCCCAAACTTTCTCGCAACTCCAGCTGCAGAGGCTGCACCCACATGTTTTATTCGAAAACACACATTTTCTTTATGCAGAGCATGTGTTTGTAAGCATAAAACAAATCTAATTTAGTTAAATTTATAGTCAGGGCACTGGCATGTTTTCATAAGCCTGTTGCTCACACACCTTCACTCCATAGATTATTAGTCAGATATGCCCCAAACACAAAAACGGAGAAATAAAACCAAAGACGGGCTTCTTTCTGCAGGAAAGTACACAACAACTCACTTATAGTGGCTCATAAATCATGGCTGAGAGAGAGAACAATTTACATGCAAGCTTTAAAACAATGCTTGAAAGGAACAAAATGTGCAGCAGAAGGATTGAGAAGGAAGATTGTTTATCATCTTCTCAAACCGGCTGTCAGTTATTATCATGACAGGCAGGATGATGAACACGGAAGTGCATGAGGACCCGAATTTGACTCAAAGTAAAACTAACATCAGGTATCGTTCTGTTTGTCATTTGTCTTCTTTTAGAACTTAGAAATATTCAATTTCTAAAGCAATCTTTCATATTTGGCCGGCGGTAACAGGATAAGTTGGAGATTTGCGGTAGAGTCATTCAAGGCGCCGCTGAAGCTGCATGGCTGTCTTCATCACAGAGGAGGAGCTTTTGAAGAGAATAGTTTGTTTAGTGCTTCAATAAGTTCTGCAGAAAGTCATTGAAGACATGAGACAAAATGCATAAAGATGGAAAGAACGCTACAGACGCATTCAGGACTTGGCTTGGACTTGTCTCAGAAGGAGACATGTTGACTGATGCGAGTGGGCGTTCTGGAAAAAAAATCTACTGTAATTTGAAAACTTATCATGAAAATCTCAGATACAATGAAAAGCCTTAGTCATAAAAAAAATCTGTCACTAAAAAAATGGGAGGAGTCACTGAGATTGGGAAATGATGCTTTTATAAATATACCTCATTATATGTTAAAACTTAATTTTATGAAGTCATACAAATATAGCCTGTCACAGTGGAGGTAGTGTCATATTTTGGGACTAGTTTAATGCTTTGTTACAGGAAAATACCAAGACTGCTCAGTGGCACGACCACAAAATGAGAAAAATCATTCAGTTCAATCAATAAAGTCACTAACATAGTTTCTTTTCCTGCCATGTATACTGTGTTTTACATGAGAATAAAACATTTGGCAAAAATTATATTAAGGATGTTTATGAGGTGCCTCTTACATGTATTGTGTCTGTATAATAATAAAGTATAGTAACAAAGTAAGTTACATTACGCTGTGAATTAAGCATCTCTTTTCTTGTTTTTTTATATTAACTGCCATCTTGGGATCAATCTTTAATCAAAGTATCCCTCTGCAGGTGTTCAAAGTCTTCAGCAAATGGTTAAATACTAAAAGAAAAATTAATCAGAAAAAGGCAGAACTTGTAACTTGCATGCTGAGATCACTGAATCTTCTTCAGCGCAGACAGAGATTCAGCATAGCGCAGCATGAGATGAATTGATGTCATTGGGTCACTGCTGAGACATTTGTGTTGAGCTAGATACTAATGCTGTGATGCAAACTTCAAATTAATGGACTGTGTTTGAGCTTGATGTTTAATTTCTGGTTGAAATGCTGCAGGACCTTTCAACGTCCAAAACCCTGGGGCTTATTTGATGATCTGGTTGCATTTATACAGTGTCAGATTCCGATTTCTGTGAAATACTTCATCTGTAATTGATACAGAAATGCAAAATAAACAGATAATGGTGTGACTGGGTGAAACGATCTCAACAGAAACAGAAATAATTTACTCACCTGTGATTGTTGACATGCATCAGTTTTCTGCTGTAGGTTTCTTTAACTCAAAACCTTGAAAAGTTTTTGATGTCAAAAATAAATAAAAAGCTAACAGAAATGGATTTTTTTTCTTTTCTTTTTTTTCCATTTCAAGAATTTGCTGCTGTTACTCCGAGGGCGGGATTTCCTGTAGCCAAAGATGACGGCAGTAACACAGCCATTCTGATTGGCTGCCTGGTGGGCATCATCCTGCTGCTGCTGGCTGTTATAGTTGTCATTCTTTGGAGGCAATACTGGAAAAAGATTCTGGGCAAGGTGGGTTAGGAGCTGGACCTCCACGGTGTAATTTCTAAGCTGGAAATATTTTATTTCATAAAGCCAAACCGTCACTGTGAGTCAGTTTAAGTTAATAAAAGCTGGAGAGAACCAGCCCGTCTCCGTCTGGATTTATATGCGCTGCTAATCAGTCAGCGATTAAAGTTTGTGTCCAGGATTCGAGCATCCCTCTGCCCTAATGGTTCCTTCACGCTGCCTTTCAGGCCCAGGGCAGCCTGTCCAGCTCAGAGCTCAGAGTCCATCTGTCCGTCCCCTCGGACAACGTGGTCATCAACAACACACACAGCTACTCGAGCCGGTACCAGCGCATACACACCTTTCCTGACGACCGGGACCATGACAGAGAAGCAGAGGGGGAATATCAGGAGCCCAGCGCTCTGCTGCGGCCCAGAGACCAGAGGGACAGCACCAGTAAGTTACAAATCAAGCACTGAGGGGTTTAAGTGTTGCTTACCTTTAATATTGAACCTGTGTGTTGGAGGAAATGCTTCCAAGTCAGTTTTCGAACATAAATAATGTGATATAAAGTGGTCTCAGAGCCTCCAGTCATCCTTTTTTCTTCATTATTTCTTCTCGACATTTCTTTGGAGTGTGTTTCTTTAATGTTTTTAGTGCACTGACGCTGCTTTTTCACTCATTAGTCCTTTTCAGATGCTGTCAACATTCAGCCCAAATCTGACCGTTTTGCACATATATGTTCTTATTATTGATGTTCTGAATAAAACAAAACTCATCTTAAAATAAAATAAAGACTGCTTTAATATTTTATCCTAAATTGGATACGTGACCTCAGTCTGAATGGTCGCTTTGCATTTTATTCAACATTTCATTCACACCACTGAAGTGTGACAGCATCTTGATAACCAACATGTGTTGCATTCAAGGCTGAAGAACAGAGGACTGTTCACACTGGAGTCTGATGTCGTTACATTTAAATTACAATGTGAAAAACTGAACAAAAGTCTGACCTCAGCATAGAGAGTTGGCTGCAGTGTGAATGGGACAACACGCCTGTATAAACAACCTAATAAAGGGAAAATGTAGAAAACGGCACGTCTAACTTCAGCAGCTTTAAAATGAACTTCCTGTAGCTTTTCCCTTTCTGTCGACCTCTGGATGTCGGTTCTTTGGCTGATTATCGAGCATCGCATTAGTTTTGGTTGGGAATAAAACTTGTGTCCAAAGTTACCATAACATAAATAGAAGTACCCTCAATATAAATGTCTATTAAGATTTAAAATGTATAGTAATAATGATAATAATTAACCCAGCTCAGCACATTTGACTGAAGGAGCTTTTTCTGCCATGTTTATTTTGAAATGCTGCTGACTGCATCCAATGAGACTATTTTCACAGATACAGCGACCTGTTGCACTGCAAAAACACAAAATCTCACCAAGAATTTTTGTGTAGTTTCTAGTCGAGTGTACCTGGTACACCTGGAATAAGACAGAACTAACTTAGAAGTAATTTAACATGGAAAAATCGTCTTGTTGTAGTAATCTGCCAGTGGCACACTTTCAGCAATATTAAGACATTATTTATTTAAAACGAGCTCCTATATCTTGCTGAAAAGTTTCCTGTAAGTTTTTCTATTTTATTGAACTAAGATATTTGCACTTGAAACTAGACAAAATATTTAGTAAGATTTTGTGGTTTTGCAGTGCACAATAACAATAAATTGTCCCAGACGTTGTTGCAATAAACCATTTTCTTGTTTCGAGACCATTTTTAAGCAATATATATAAAGGTAAATGTATGATAATGCAAGGACAAATTCTCAAAGCTCAATAAACTTCAAATTCTAATGAACTTTTAACATTGGATCTGAAAAACATTTTAATTATCCAAAATAAATAAACAAAACTAACTGAAGTCTCTGTAACAAAATTGTCCTTCACAAAAGGGCTAGTTGAGACAAAAGCATCAGACTGAAGAACTGTTTTCATTCAGTTTTTGGTAGGAAGAGCTAGAAAAGAGAAAAACTATAAATCATGCAAATATAAATTATTGAGCTCACTTTAATTCATCATGCGGATAATTGATTTATTTCTTATTGCGACAGGCCACGTCTAGAGGAGAGCTGTTTTAAAATTTGGCATGGTTTGGCGTAAGGTCTGGACAGATGAGTAAAAAAGCAGCTAAAGTCTTAAGAAACAAAAGTAAAAGTCCCTCAGAAAACTGTAAGAACCGTTAAATAAAAATGACAGCAAAAGTTCACAAAAAAGCAAGAAAATAATGCTTGGCTCTGTGCAACATGTTGACAGGCAGGAAAACATGCAGAACATATCAGCTGGCAATAAATAAGCAGAAAATGTGACAACAATCCCACCTTCCATATGTACCGTATTTAAATTTCTGCACTCATGCCTGTGGTTTGTACCACATCACTCAGTTTGCATGCCTGTTTGTGATTTTGCAAACTCATTTGGAGATGGGGCAAAAGCAGAAGGAAAACTCCCGATGTGGCGTGTCTATCTAGAAAACTGTGGCGTTGCAGCATATTCCACCACACCAAACAAAAGTGAATCAAATCAAACATCCTGCAAGGAAGACTGCCTGCAAGAAGATGCACGGTGCAGAGGGGGCACAAAAGAGCTATTGTTCTGAAGAGAGGGAAAAAAAGGGAGGAGAAGCTGAGGATTAAAGAAGAAAAACTGCATTCCTTTGCTTGCATTGTTCCTCAGGAGGTTGGCATGCCATCTTTACTAGGCGCCTGTGTGAGTTTGAAATAACAAGAGTAACAAACATCCCACGCAGTCAGTTTTTTATGTTGGGTTGTGTTAATTTGCCTGAGATGTTCTTCCTTCCTGTGCTCATAATGAAAACCCTTATGATTCCTCATATATGTACATGAACATGCTAACACTGTCATGATTCTGTTTTGTTCCATGTTATGATTTTGTTTGTGCGCCCCACCTCGTTCTGTACGTTTGTGTGTGTTTGTGTGTCTGTGACCTTGTAGCCTTGCTGTTAAACAATCCGGCCTATCACGTGCTCCTACCAGATCACAGAAAAGGCTCCAGAGCCGTAGTCGTCCCGAGATCGGCTCAGGCTCCGGAAAAGAGCCTGAATGTGCCCCAGGGTAAGAAGCCTCAGACTGGGCCGGCACAGTCAGGAGGATCCCCTGCTTCCCACTCACTTACCGACCTGTCAACGCTGAGGCAGGAGAAGATTTTCTCCCAAATATTAACAATCTGTTTCTGCATGCGACCTTCCCATTCTCTCATTCACTGATCACTTAACTCCTTCCTTTGTTTGAAGGGATATTTTGGTTTCTAAGGAACTGGAAAGTTTCACAAAGAACTTTTTTTCTTTTTTTTTTTACTTTGATTGAGTTTAGTTTCTGTGAACGCCTCAGTAGCACGGGGTTATCATGCTGCGTTCCAGCTGCACTCGGAACTGGGAAATTACGACTTCCTTCACTTCACCAGGAAAATCCCACTCAGATTAAAAACCTTTTACAATCCTGCCCAAGACTGGCAGCGGCACAGAGTTTACAGCACATTCAAACTTAACGCAGTCATACCTAAATTAGCTAAAACATTTACAGAGAGATGATTTCTTCTCAGTAAGAATCGCCTTAAAAAATATTTAGTGAAAACAGCATTGTGTGTTTATGAATACATTTATAATCGGTTCCAAAAAGATGGAGCAGAAAACTGAATAGTTCAGAGCTTTCCTAAATTCGGTTTTGATTTTTTTTTACCAAAAGAAAATTCTGTTCTCACTTTGAAGAAAATATTTCCCAGTGGACTTTCTACTAATGTAAACAAATACAAAATAGTTACAGTACAAATCTATAAATAAAAATATGCCAAAGTCTATGTGCGAATACAACCATATTGTAAACATTGAAAAAGAAAATGGGTGATCCATTCTAAAATATATTGAGTTATGTGTTTTTACAAGCAGTCAAATTAAGTTTATTCAAGTAAATATATTACATTTATTAAGTTATCATATTAAGCAAATATAAGTTTGACAAACTTAATTTGACTACATGTAACAAATTCTTATTTTTTTAAGTTGAAGAGCCTTTTTTCAGTGTGCAGTGATGAGTAAAACCCTCCAAAGTTGGACTTCCCACTGGGAAACTGGGAGTAATTTTCATTACCTCAGTTTGACCTTTACTTTATTTAACGACCGCTCCTTTAGGAGCAACTGCTGGTCGACGTTATTACTTTTTCAATTAACTGTCCATTTTCATTACGTAATCTCCAAATAATTTCAATCTGAGACGTGTCATTAATATCAATAACCCAGAAAACAAATAATTATTTCTAATTATGTAATAATATTCTTGTAACTATATCAGACCTGCAGTGAAGTTCAGCTGTCCTTGCAGGATCTTTCTGGTATCTTCGTCTAAAGCCGTAGTTTGCAGAGGTTTTTGTCTCCAAGAAATCATCACAGTGAGTCCCAAACAACAAAAATCCGCAAAAACACGACTTCACCAGAAGAAAAGTAAAGTTTCGGAAGAGGTCAGTGCATGTTTGTCAAACTGAAGGGCGGGGGCCAAATCTGGCCCATGATAGCTTTGAATCTGGCCCTCCTGACTCCTGAGGGATGCATAAATAAAACCTTCAAGAAAACATTTGTGTGACTAAATATTGTTGTAGCAATATAATCAGAGCAAGTTTTGTCTGTATACTGTCAAATTACATCATCCACTCCCTCCATTTATTTTGTTTTCTTTTGAAATTCCCCAATCTGGAAAATGACGCAAAAATAAACAGATCCTCACATAATGCATAATTGTAAGTTAATTGTTCAAAAACATGTTAAGTTTTTGGTTTAGGCTAAAATTAAATTCTGCTCTAAATTATTCCTGACTCTCGCCTACAGGTGGCAGTGTTTCTTTCTTTCTGCTGCCTCAGTCTTGTAATCTGTGAACTATGCGAGTAACAAAAGGTCATGTTGAACACAAACATATGAAATATCACAGAATTTCTTGCAAATATTTCTAAAGTAGCATCAGAAAATCAGGGATTTTGATTAGAAAAAAATCACAAAAGAAATTGAGAAATCCTGGAGGGACTGAGTGTGAAAAGATGTTCAATATTATTAAATTTTAATAAATACTAATTGAATGCTGGCAGTTTATTGATGTTTTAAAATGGGTTTTAGCAGAAATAACCCTTTCAGTCTTTGTGATTTTGAACTTGGCTCAAAGTGAAAATGTGTTTGATGCTCCTGCTGCAAACTAGAACTAGAAAAAGAGATTTTGCAGAAAGCTGTGAGGTCAGTTGATGAGAGCTGAGGACAAAATGCTGCAAGTGGAAAAGTATTGCCAAGTCAAGACTCAAAACAAAGCCACACACTTCTACAACAAGGATGTTTAACTTTACCTTCCTAGACCAATCCAATCTATCCCATGTTTGTCCTTGTTAAAACACATTGTAGTTAAATCCAGTTGATAATGACAGAAACATATTTTTTACTGGACTCTCTGTAACTTCTGCTTTTCCTCCCAAATATATGATCTTTATAATGTTACAGTATTGTGATGTACTGGCTGCAGTTGCGTGTGAATTTAGGCTGAAAATTCTCCTATCAGGCTCATTATTATTTCAAAGGTAAAACAGCTTAGCATTCAGGTCCCACTCTCTCTACAAGCCCATGACTCAAGTGCTGTCTGAACCTTTTGGGAGCCGCAGGTATCAAACGTAAAATTATTATCTTTTCGAGGTGTTTCAGTTTAATCAGCGGGTAAAAACGCAGGTTCACATTCAGTTTAAAATTAGGAGTTCGATATGGTGTAAATGAGCAAAGAGAGATTCAATAACAAGTGGTTCATACCTGCTATTCATGCAGGTAGATGGATTTAATGAAATTATAAATTATTTTCGTCTCTCACAGGAATAAAGTCAGTCACAGGAGGGTGAATGTGTGCTGTCAGCTGACTGAATGAAACAATGATTAATGCACTGACCGGGTTGCAGGAGGCCGCAGCGGGAATACATTCACAAAATTGTAATCCTTCACAATGTGCAGGGGTGTGTCGATATTTCTGCAGGATGACAGCTCCGCTGCATAATTTCGGCTCCATCTCAGCCTCCCAGTAGATGAATGAACGTGCAGCTGTGCTCAGGACCATCATCAGTTCTTCTGTAATAATAAACAACCTTTTCCCAGGCAGACAGAGGAAAGGTAGCTCTGTGGAAAACTTGATTTCACTTATCTTAGATTGCTTACGTTTTTCTTTTTGAATAGTGGATTTGGTATTCAGCTGAAAATCCAAACTATCCCTTCAAAACAAGTCGCCTGACCTTTTATCTCCTGATTCTGTTCCTGCAGACGGCCGTTTTAAATCACTCGGTTGTTCTCGGTTATCTCGTCTTTTCATCCGCCCCGTCTGCCTCTGCCTCTTGTCTTCAGCTTGTGGTTTGGACTTGGACCTGGAGAAAGGCTTCCCCTCTGCACACGAGGAGCCCCCTCCGTACCCGGGGTCGCCTCCTTATCCGTCTCTGTCTCCCCCCGTCTCCCCGCCGCTGCCTCCCAGCGTCCCGCATTATGCAGAGGCGGACATCGTCAGTCTGCAGGGGGTCAGCGGCAACAACACCTACGCAGTGCCGGCCCTGGCCTCTTCCAGTCCTGGTGCCGACGCTCTCCCGCTGCCGGAGCTGCCGCGCCAGTGTCTGGTCTTCAAGGAGAAGCTGGGGGAGGGACAGTTTGGGGAGGTGAGGACTGACAAAGACGGAAGACATGTCTGGGTGAAAAGATCACTGTCCTCTATCAATGTTTGAATTTAATTTGAATTTAATTTCTTGTGGTCAAAGGTTCACCTGTGTGAAATAGAGAACCCTCTGGACCTCCCAATCCTAGAGTTCCCCTTTAACGTGAGGAAAGGGCGCCCTCTTCTGGTCGCAGTGAAGATACTGCGGCCAGACGCTTCAAAGAATGCCAGGTTTGTATCATTTTGTTTTTACAGTGCCCAAACCTCAATATCGGCTTTTACATTATAATTTTTTACTGTACCTAAATATATTTCTTTTCTTTTTTTTCCCAGTGTCTAAATCTGAATCTATTTATTTTTTACTTTACCTATTTATTTATTTTTATTTTTATTTTTCACTTTATTTTTTTAACTTTACAAATAGAAATTCAAAGTTATTTTTTGATTTGTAAATCTTTTTTTTTACTGTACTTAAATTTCTTTTTTTTCTTTAATTTTTCTATAGTACATAAACTATTTTTTACTGCACCTAAATAACGTGCTGAGCACACACACACACACACACACACACACACACACACACACACACATATATATATATGCTTTTAAAAAGATTACAGTACCTCTCATGTATAAACTATAGTTTATAATGTAAATTTTGTATTTCAGAACTTAATTAGATTAAATAAACAAATGGACAAATTTTAGTGACTATATCTTTCACGATTAGCCCAAAGCAGTGGATAGGGGTTTTGTGAGCAATTTACTTTAAAAAAAGTCCAACTAAATGTTACATAAATGTCACCTTGTCAACCACTCAGGGTTTTAATGTACAGACATAAACACTTTTTTTTACTCGATCAGGACAAGTGATACCTCTTTACTGTGCAGAGCCATATTTATGCTTCATTATTCACATTAAGTTCTTCACAAAAACAGCAAAATAAAACTGATAAGTTATGAAATGACCTAGCTTTCTTAAAAAAAAAAAAAAAACTAAAACTGATTTAAAGAAGGTCGTTGACTTAATGAAGGAGATTATGGCTGATTTCCTGAGGAGCTGCTGGGCCATGACTGCAAGCAGCTGGTACCAGACAGAATATCGCTCAAAATCTTAAATTAAATGCCTCCTATGGTGGGAAATGGAGAAGTGAAGATGTTGTTTGGGCAATGAAGCATTAAATGAACCACAAACATAGTGGGAGAGACGTTAACCAAGGCAGCAGGAATAGACATGTCTGCTCTGGATGAAGTCTCTGCTTTTGAGTTTAGCCTTAAATTGGATAAAAGATCTTCAGTAAACAAAGGAAACTGGGGGAAATATCTGCTTCTCTGTGGTTTTCTTCATGGTTGAGGAGTTTCAAACAAAAAACAGAGAGCTGGCGCTTTATGTTGGACGTTTGTACGAACTTGTTTTGTTGACTCAGCAGATCTGTCCCTTCTCTTCTGGCAGGAACGACTTCCTGAAGGAGGTGAAGATCTTGTCTCGCCTGAAGGACCCAAACATCATCCGGCTGCTGGGAGTGTGTGTGAGCAGCGATCCCCTCTGCATGGTCACCGAGTACATGGAGTGTGGAGACCTGAACCAGTATCTGTCCCAGCGTGTCCTGCTGGACAAAACTGGGCCTTCACACAATACGCCGACCATCAGGTAACTTGAAGGGGACCTACTACATAAAATTCACATTTTGCATGTTTTTGTGCTTCAGTTTGGCCTCTACTGTTTCAGAAAACCAGCACAAAGGCTTTTTTTGGCAATACATTAATGTTTTTTGGTGCCTAGAAAATGAGCCATTTTGATTGTTGACTCAAATTCATCGGGGACTTGGGTGGGGTTGCTGTTACCTAGCAACGCCACCCAAGCCCAACCCTGTCAACCCATGCTGAGCTCCTTCACGTTTTGTCAGCTGGTTTTACTGCAATACAGTGGCTTCTGGAAAAGATAAGTGCTTTGCTGTTGACTTACCAATCAGAAATCACTCGCTGTATTCTTGTTGGTTGTCCAGGAGGCTCCACTTCTGCTTTTCTAAGATGTAGAGTTGTATAATTGCACATCTGTTCACAGCTATTTCACAGTGTGATTGTAAACTTTGAGATTATTTGGATTTAAAGTGACAAGACGCCCTAAAACAGCTCAGACTAAGCATGGTTTTGAATCACCTTTAGACCCATCGTACCTAATCAAAGAAACTTTAAAGTAAACATCCTCAGCTACAGTTCCTGACGTTTCCCTTCTGTCCACAGTTATCCAGCGCTCATCTCCATGGCCAGCCAGATCGCATCAGGGATGAAGTTCCTGTCCTCTCTGAACTTTGTGCACCGGGATCTGGCCACTCGCAACTGCCTGGTCGGCGGTGAGAAGGGAGAGAGCGGAGACGATCGAGGCGGAGAGCGTCACATCAAGATCGCCGACTTCGGCATGAGCAGAAACCTGTACGCTGGAGACTACTACAGGATCCAAGGCAGAGCTGTGCTGCCTATACGATGGATGGCCTGGGAGTGCATCCTCATGGTGAGACGGACACGATGGTCTGTGTGTTCACAGGTTATCATGAACCGTGTTCAGTTTTATCTCTAAATGGTTTTTTTCTTTTAAGTCAAAACTTTTCTGGACTGAACTTTCTGGAGTCTCACTGCTTTTTACGCATAAAACCAAAAGTTTGTGTTAAATGCAGGGCAGATGTTTCTGTTGAGGTCAGGATTTAAATATAGAGGCTGAAAAATAACTGAATGCATGGATGGATTAATAGATGGCAGGTCAACATCTTTGAACATGGCCTAATATAGTGTTATACTCATAAGGAACACCTTAACGAAAAATATATTGGAGATACATCAGAAGAATTAATTTTAGCAGCTTCAAGATGATATTGACTAGAAAAACAATCATACTGAATAATTCCTCATCTTTTATTGTGTAATATTGATTGTGTTTGTGTTGCTCAGTAAATCATCATCTTCTTGAAAAACAATCAGGTATCTAGTTATAAGTGAAATAATTGTCAGTGGAACAAATCATTTACATTGTAAGATGGGAAAAATGTCCACTGGCAGATGATAACTTATAACTTGAAAGTTTTCATCAATATTGATAAATTGTTGACTTAAATAAGCTCCCATTTCTTGCTGATATGTTACTTGTAAGTTAATTTTGTCTTATTTCATGCTTTCTAAGATATATGCAATAGAAAGTAGACCAGAAATACGTGGTTTACTTTTGCAGTGTGCATGCTTGAGTTCTCTCAGGGTACTCCGGCTTCCTACCACAGTTCAAAACACGATGTCAGGTTACTGAGCTCCAAATTGTCCTTAGGTGTTATTTGTCCTTTGTGTCTCTGTTTGTTGTCCTGTGATGTTTTCTAATGGATGATATTACTCTTAGTGGTCCTGCATTAACTTGGTCCAGGCTGGAAGCCTCAGCATCTCTCCAAGAATAACTGGATTTGCTATTTATGCTCCTTTTTCAAAATTTAAAATGATTAAATTTCAGTTTTCCAGACTGTGTAGGAAACATGCATCTGTGATTTCTTTTAACTGCATCACAATTTTTCAGGTCAAGGCTTTTTGGTCCATTACTAGTAAAATTACACAAATAAAACATTGGAAAACAAACTAATGCACTGAAAAATGAAGCACTCACATGTGAAAGAAGCCCATTAGATGTGACATTCCTCTCCATCAGACTCACCTTTATGATAATGATGCTTGAAGTTGTGACACTAATGGAGGTTGTGACGATAAAGGCAGATGTTCAAGTGTGCGTGTTGCTGTGTGTCCTCAGGGGAAGTTCACCACGGCCAGCGACGTGTGGGCGTTCGGTGTCACTCTGTGGGAGATGCTGAGCGTTTGTCAGGAGCAGCCGTACTCCGACCTCACAGATGAGCAAGTCATCGACAACGCAGGGGAGTTCTTCAGAGACCAGGGCAGACAGGTACGACAAAAACATGAGCACAGCTGAAAAGGTTTATACTGAAACTGGACATTTAGAAAGTGATTTCACTCCTCAAAAATACACATTAGTCATGAGGCTTTTTTCACCAAAGTATTTGGGATCATTCAAGACGGGCCTTTGTGTTATTTTTCACCTGATTTTGTCCTTACAAGTCTTATTGCTTAAAGGTGACCCGTTATGCTTAATTGAACAGGTATTATTATTACACAGGTATTATCTATTAATTGAACAGATCTATGGGAGATACAACTGAGACAAAACATCAATTTCCTCAATAAAATATGGTGTTTATGATAAAATGGGACCTTTTATGCAAAATTCACTTTTTGCATGTTTTTGCATTTCCATTCGGGTTCTAAAAGCAGCACATAAAAAAACCACCCAGCTGTTTTTTGGTAATAAGTTCCTGTTTTATTTTTTTAGGGTCTGGACATTGAGTCATTTCAAAACCTTTGTAATTTAGTCAGAGTAAATGGGCGCTGCATAGTTACTAGCAATCCAAGCGGAGCTCCAGTACATTTGGTTTTACCACTACATGTGCTGTACAATGGCTGCTGGAAAACACAAGTGACTTCCATGTCAGAAACCACTTGCTGCATTCTTGTTGGTTGTGCAGGAGGCTCTACTAGTGCTTTTCAAAGATGCGCGGCTGTATAATTGCACATCTGTTTGCAGCCATTTCGACATGTGAATGTAAATTTTGGGGGCATATAAATGCCCCCAACTGATCATGTAGACCAAGGAGTCTACATGATGGACTCCTTGTTCCATCATGTCGAGAAATAAAACTTCCTGCAGCTTCTTGTGTGTTACACGAGATTAGTGACAAAACGCCTTAAAACAGCTCAGTCTGAAAGGAGCTCAAACTATTCAGAACTGATCAGAATGAAATCTGAAAATGTAGTGAACATGTTTTGTTTAGGCCATAGATCTGTTCAAGGTGGTATAATAAGTCACCTTTAATGTGAGCAGAACAGTATGGCTGCCCTGACTTGGCAGGCATACTTGGATATGATGCGTTCACTGATTGGAGAAAAAAAAACAGGTTTTTGAGTAGACTACTAATCAGGGCTAATGAAGCTGGTCAAAATAACCCAAAGTGACGTTCATCACATGCGTCTCTTTCTCTCTCAGGTGTATCTGAGCAGGCCGGCCGTGTGTCCTCAGGGTCTCTATGAGCTCATGTTGAGCTGCTGGAACAGAGACTGCAAGCTCCGCCCGTCTTTCGCCAACATCCACTCCTTTCTTACCGAGGACGCCATGAACATGGTTTGACGGAAGAACGACAGGAAGAAAGTTGACCTTTTTGCTTGAGCGGTGAAGTGGGCTGGTGTGGTGGTGGGTGCGTTCACAGGCACAGTGGGGTTACTCGCTTTTGTATTTTGTACTTTTTGGGCGGGTGGGGCTGAGACACCGCTGGTTCGGTTTTTATTCCACCTCAGACCCCCAAACGACGTCTTTTTAGTAGGTTACGTAGTAACTGGTGGTGGGTTCAGTCATCAAATCAGTTTTCTCTCATTTCAGATTGTGTCTCTTCTGATGCTGCAGAGTTAATATGTGGGAATCAGTCGCACAAAATACAGTTTCATGTCTGAAACATTCAAATTCAGCATTTTAATGTTATTTGTGGACAAACAGGTGAATGTGGTCATGTCACGAAGAACACCTGTCGTTTGGAGGTGAAAGGTCACGCAGGAATTGTCTTAGTATTTGTCTCACAGCATGCACTGTAACTCAGTGAGCTTACTCCCAGCTACGTCCCCTTTGGCCTACTTTTTATTACGACTCTTCATTTGATCTCAGCCCCACATTCTCGCCCAGTGACCCACATCCACAATGTTTGTGGGTAAATAAGGAGGCGTGGACCAGACAGGAGCAGCCTCCCTGTTTCGTCAGCGTGAACACGTCGCGTCTCCCGTCTTTAATCGTAACAGTCTGACCTGCATCTTGCACCCGACACCAAACGAGAAAAAAGGCACAGAAGACCAGAGTCTGCAGCTGCAAATTAACAAAAAAACATTTAGTTTTTTCTTCCACCAGAGAGACGTTGCTCTGGGACTCTTTTTCAGGCACCTTGTCAGGTGTTCTTCTTCTTATCATTGTTTCTTTATTTGACTGCAACTCAGTCAGAAAGGATCGACTTTAAAATTCCACAAATCAGCAGCACTTTACCCTACATGCATTTCCCCGACTGTGATGAAACTTGTCTTCAATGGGTCTGAATGATGATTCCTGATTCTGATCAGGACATACATCACAAACATGCACGCTCTCCTGTTAAAATGCCCGGCTTTTGTTACCTTAAAAATAAAAAGACAAGCTTTTTTTCACCTTTATATGGCATTCGTCTTGTACATTTCAACTAAATAAATAGAAAAAAATCAGTGAAAAGTAGAAAATATACAAAAAATAAATAAACAAACTTTTATTTCTATTTTGTTTCACATCCTTTCTCGAGGTTTTGTCAGATTTTTAGCCAGGCCCGGATGTTTTCTTTGGGTAAAATTACTTCTGTCTTCCAGCCGTACTCCTTGGTCCATCATGTAGAGAAATAAAACTTCCCGCAGCTTCTTGTGTGTTTTTGACTTAAATTGATATCTTCAAAGACAACCTTATTAATTGATCACATTCACTCTGATCAACTAAATCCTGAAATTGAATCAAAATATCGCAGGTTTTTTTGCACATTTTCACTCCTAATAAATTTGCTTATTTTACAATTGCACTGTGAATAAATAAATATATATGTCACAATAACAGTGCAGTAGGTGAGGAATGGATTGACATTTTTAAAGGCACAGATGTCCGGCATGTTAGCAGGAGGAGTGAAAACGTCTGAGACCTTCTCTGCCAAACCATTAGATGTAAAAAATTGTTTTAAAACCTGGAATGGCATTCTGGATTCAAACAGCAATCCCATGTAAGCTTTCAGAGCGCCGAGATGTTACTGATCTTATAATTTTCTTTTATATCACTGTAATTTCATGGCATTATGCAAACGGGGAATTCTGGGATTCCTGATGTTTTTTTTGTTTGTTTGTTTAGTTTTTTTTTGGAGTGAAAGTCGATCTCTGTGTTGATCCATGTGTGAGCTGACCGCAGTGGAACCAGTACTTCAACCTTACTGTCTGTACAGCACTGTAAATCTGAGATCACCCTGATTGTGAAGTAATACTTGTTTAGTGATTGGTTGTGCCATTTCATTCATTTTGATACACTGTAGTTCACTTTTTTTTTCTTTTTTTTAAGCTTGGTTATAGTAAAAAGTATGTACACTCACTTTCAATTTAAGGGATTTCAAGAGATGTTTTTGGTTGTCACCAGATTATTTCCTGAAATGAACAAAATCATATTACTGCATCATTATTTATGATAAAGAAGCTGTAGCAGCAATAGCCTGAAGACCTGCCTCCTGTTTGAGGTGCCTTGGTTCTTTTTGTTCAACATTGCTTGAATTTGCTACATTTCTCCATCTCAGTTGTGTTCTAGCTTGAAGGGGAAAACAGTTTACATGTATTTACAAAATAAAAGTCGAAGAATATGAAATAAGATGGCATGAAATAATAAGAGAAAGCACATGAAAGTTGGCAAATAGAGACTGCGTGATGAATGTATTGCCAATTTATAAGGAGGATTGTCCGGTGAAGAGGAGAAAGTCAGGAGAAATGTTGTTAGTGCAATAGCTTGGAGACTCAGCAAACCAGCACCCTACATAGGAGCTTAAAGGTACAGTTTGAGCTAGAAAATTATCTCCTTCTCACTAAAGCCATAGAGAACCACTGGCCTCCAGGTGGTGCTGTTACACCTTCTTCATCCATATATTGAAGTGCTTCCTGTTATTGATGGTTTCAACTCAAAATGTTTGTTTAAAAAAAAGTGTGCTTTAAAATTACTTTAAAAACATATTGAAAGGCTGATTGACTTGTGTTTCATGCTGGTACAAGTTTTAACCCAGAACACAGTTTACTCTCCTTGTTGCCCTTTGATGTTCAACAGGGCAATGACTTGAATTATTCAGCTTAATTTCAAATTTGACTGAAATCTTGGGATTTCTTAGCGGATTTCTTTAGATGCTTCTCAAGCACCAGATGTTTTTAGCATAAGCTCTTTTATTTAATGGGTGAATGTGTCGATATCCATATAAAATGTCTATCCAATAGTTGTTCAACCTTCTAATTGTGTTGTATCAAAGATTCCTCGTCCAGATTGAGGTGAATAAAGTCTAAAATGGTTTTATTTGAATTATCTGGTTCCAAATTGTGCAGAAAAGGTTGTATAACTGTTCAGTTTGATGGCCAAAAACATGTTTTTTTCAGGTCTCTGTTGCCATTACACATTAGCAAGCTGCTAAAACTTCAGTTTTCACATAAATAGCTGATTAACTGTATTTGTTCAGCACTCAGTTAACTCAAACATGTTGAGACTGCAGTGTCTCTATTTATTAAAGAATGTGTCTCGGTTCAGGTTGTGTCAACTCAATTTAAAAATCTGGTGATGACCAACACATTTTTGTCCCTTTTAGTAAAATTATAATATTGAAGTTGGTTGTACTTAACATTTTCCTATAATTCTTCCCAATCTGTCTGATTTCACAGTATGTACATATTCAAAGGACAGGATTACAGTTTTCTTTGCTAATGTATAGATAACTCCCTGTCACATTTTTATCATTGCTCTAGAAACGCTTGTTACCTTCAAGCTCTTATTCATTGCTGTTCTATTTTTGTAGATGTTTTATTAAAGTTACCCTTTTCAAATAAAACTGAACAGGCTCACACTGTGTACAAACACCAGGCTGTTTTCAGTGAGTTAAACATTTTATTAATCGTTCACTACAGACTATTTAGTACAAGCAGTTTCACACTATATATGACTTACGTTCCTGTCAGTTGAAGTAGCCATGCAACAAATGTTTTCGAAGCATTCTTCACAAGAATCACATCGACAGCAAGAAGGCTTGCTAATGCAAAACCTTTAGGTGTTTTGGGTAAAAGTCTATTAAATCTGATACAGATACAACTGGTAGTTAATACACATACAACAAAATTTATAAGAATACACCTGCAGTTGTATTAGAACAGGTCTCAGCTAACGTCTCAAACATTCTGTATGATTTTATCATTTAAAGGTTCAGTACGATCAAAATTGGAAAAAAAAAACATCCAAAGTTCAATTTAAACTCCAAGAAGAAAAGAAAAACATACATAAGCTGAGGTGTGAATTGTTACATTAGTGCAGATTCTCTCTACAGCATAAAACATAAGCCCAGAACTTTGACTGCAACGCTGCTGCAAAGAGACAACATGCTTTTCTCCAACCACGAGACACCGTCAATGAACAGGAAAACCTCAAAACTTTCTTCTCGTCAAACAAAAACTTGTTCTCATCACACTTCCTCCGACATTTTGAGACTGAAATCCCTCTGCCTGCAGCTCAAACTAAGAAATGTAGCCAAAGTCGGCTGTCTGGGTTTCATAAAGTTGTTTGAACATCATCTAGCAGTGATTAGTAATTTAATTACCAAAGAGGAAAACAGATGTGTCAAACTGAAAGCCTGGGGGCAAAACTGGGCCCTCTTGACTCGAAAGGCACACATAAATAGAACCGCCATGATAACAGCAAGCTTAATTATTTTATCAATCAATTATTGGCAAATTGTATCAATCTGTCACCCCAGTTTTTGTGAATTATTGGGGAAACTTGCGTAAAATCAACAAATCCCTGCACTTTTTCACATTAACGCATAATTGTGAGTTTATAAGAAATTATTTGCAAAACTCTGTCGAAGATTGGCTCTAAATGACCTGCAGGTTGCAGTATTTTTACTATACTTCTACTAATTAGCTGCCTCAGCCTTACTTTATGAGGGGTGATGTGGTGAATAATGAAAACATTTTTATTGTAAAAATATTGATTGTGAAAACTTGCAGAGACTGAAGATATGTTCAGTGTTTCATTTTAAGAATTGATTTATATCTTAATAACTTAATGGGTTTCATCAACAAATTCTGGTACAACCGGCCCTTTAAGAACATTTACGGTCTTGATTTGGCCCAAAAGGAAAATGACTTTGACAGCCCTGATTTAAGAGCTCTACATAATCAACAGTCAGGACCACAGAAAGAGCGACAATTGTTGTAGTAAACAAATGTGAGAGCTTTCCCTACATTTCAGACCTGATTTTGACTGGGAGGAGCCGCTCTTCAAGTGACAGGACAGTTCTTCCATTGTAGCAGCAGGTGTAATTCGGGCTCCCTGAACTTGCTAAAGCACTTTGCATTCTGATATAAATTAAAAAAGGCACAGTGACCTCTGATCCGAGGAGCGATGGTTTAGCGGTCCAGCTCATTCGCAGGAACGATGAGGAAAACCACAAGGCAAGAAGTTGCATATTGAAAACCAGGTATAAAAAGGCAGCAGCTCTGACTTCATGTTGAGCTAAAGTGGGCTGCGCGGCTGCGACTCCGGCGGGCCCAAAAAACATTGAGTGTTTCTGTGGACGATAACAACAAGGAGAAAAACAGCAGACATCCAGGAAATGAGGAGAAACCACAGAAAGGAGGGGAAACATGCATGGACCAACAGCAAGAGAAGAACGACGGCACACATTGGACACGAGGAGGAGGCGTGGCGCTCTCAGATGATCACCCTTCCTAACGCACACGGGACGCCTTCGAAGTGACCTGAATCAGAGGGAAATAAGAAATCAACATTCTCAGTTTACTCAGTCAGGTGAATTACCTGTTCTTTAACAGATCGGAGTCAGGAGTACCTGTGAGATTTCAACTCCTGTGAGTTTTTCCACAGCCTCTGGCAGCCGGGTCATGATCTCCAGAACCTCCCCTGCCAGTTTGGCGGCTCCCACCTCTGAGCCGCCGCTGGACACCATGGTGATCTTCTGCGCCTTCGACATCGGCTTGCTGATCTCCTCAGCCATCTGCAGCGGAACATCATGAGAGAAAGCATAAAGGATAAGTGAGAAATTTTAAATAAAATGACAAAATGTTTTCAGATGGAATCAACAGTTTTAAGGAATGAAAAATTATGTTAAAAAAAAAGGTTACAATCCAATATTTTGGGTGTATTTTACAAAGTGGGCTGAGTTTCATAAAGTTGCTTGAACATCGTCTAACATCCCTAAATTTATTTTTTACAGAAGAAACCAGATGTTTAAATATACCTTATAAAAAAAGCCAGACATCATTTTTATTCTCAACTTCTAAAGTTACATCACAACAAACTTCTCTTACTTTACGGTAACAGAACCAATGAAACATTGGTTTCATTTGGTTCTGATTAAACTGAAATACTGGGGAAAAATGTTGGTTCTGGATTTAAAGTGTCACCTGGAGCTGAGGGAGAGGTCATGAGGGAGGAGGGAAGAGGTGAACTCAGGGCTCATTTCTATTTGCTAAATGCCACAAAGATGAGGAAATATGTCAGATTTACTAATTATGTCTTCAAAATCTGAAGCTAGATACATTTATCTGGTAGTTTTGCCTCTGAACTGCATTCAAACTTTTTGTTTTCGTCCTCCATGTTGTCCTGACATGACTGAGTCGGGTTTGAAGTCCGCTTCGCTCACGCGCCTTTTCAGATCTGACCATAAACTCTGTTTAACACTGAGATTAGGACTTTAACAGGGCCACACCAAAACATTGAGTTTATTTTCCATGAGCCACTTTATAATCCTACTGTCCCTTTAGAACACAGTTAAACCTTTCCACATAATAAATCTGAAATTTTTGGTTTCATTATTGTGGCAATTAGCAAATATAAGTCATTTTTGTAGTTCTAACTGGCCTAAAACAGTTGAAGTTTGATTTGATGTAACTTCAGATGGTGAGAGAAAGAGGTGAGCGTCTTTTGGTGACTGTGAACTTCTGGTTTCAGCTCTTTTCTAAAGGTAAATCTGACTTGGTTCATACAGTAAACACACATCTTGCTCTGCTGAGGATCTTTGCACAGCGAGATGTTTTCAGATCTCAGGCTAAGATCAGTTTGGTTCTTCTTTCTTTCATATTCATGGTTATCATTTGTAATGATAATAATTAATGACGAGAGTTTACTGCAGCCCTCTCACCCCTTCGGTGTCTTTTCCGTCATTCTCTAAATAAAAATTGAAGAGGAATAAAAAGTAATTTTGTTTTTGGCTAATTAAGAGATTATTCTCTCAACCCTAAGATTTGTTTAGATTATTCTAGAGAGTTAAACTGACCAGAGGAAGTTTCTCCAGCAGCATGTCCACCATGGCTCCATCTTTGTACTGCTTAAAGGCCTCGGCCTTTTTGGCCATCTGCTCTGCTTCAGCGCGACCTTTAGCCTCCACAGCAAAGGCCTCGGCGTCGCCCTTCATCTGCATGAAAGTAAAAAAACACAGATGCTCATTAGAGACAACAGCTCAAACGAAGTAGCAGAGTAAGACTGTCACTTCTCACAAAACCAAACATAATATTATAGTTAATACTATTAACAAGTAAAAGTCAGTTTTTACCTTAATCGACTCTGCCTCAGCTTCAGCCTCCATGATGAGCTGCAGACTGAACAAAAGAAGAACAGAACAAGTAAAACACTCACTTTTCAATGAACTCAACAAAATGGAGGCATGCTGCTCACCGCTGCGCCTCGGCTATCTTCTCCATCCGGTATTTCTCAGCTTCTGCAGGTTTCCTAACTTTGGCCTCCAGCTCCTTCTCTTTGCGGATGATTTCCTGGTCCTGCAGCGTGATCTGCTGCGTTCGTTCCACCACCTGAACCTGCATCTTCTCCTCCTCGATGCGCTGCTTGGTCTTGGCCACCTAATGTGTGATATTTAAAGGTGACCCATTATGATTCCTTGAACAGGTTAGGATAAGATCTATACAAAACATATCCATTCAATTTTTCGGACAAAATTGTGAGATTTCATTCTGCTCAGTTCCTCCTATTTGGGTTCTTTCAGAATGAGCTGTTTTAGGGCGTCTTGTCACTTTAAATCCAGATGAGCTGTTGGTGGTCGCGCCCTCAACTCAACAATCACACTCGCATATAAAAATGGCTGCAAACAGATGCACAAACATGCAACTGCACATTTTTGAGAAGCAGAAGTGGAGCCTCCTGCACAACCAACAAGAATGGAGCAAGTGGTTCCTGGATAGTAAGTCAACAATAAAACGCTTGTCTTTTCCAGCAGCCATTGTACAGAGTATACAGCAGTGAAACCATGCAAAATGTGAATTTTGCCTTGTAGTTCCCCTGAAACAATAAAATGTGATGCGTCATTTACAAACTGTGTTGCAGTGTGTTGCTGTAGGCACCTGAAGCTGGTAGGCCATCTCTGACTCGGCCTTCTTGGAGTTGACCTCAATGTCGTAGGCTGCTTTCTTCAGCTCAAAGTCTCTCTGAGCTTTCGCCATTTCGATCTCGTTCTTGTACTGCGCAGAAACCTTTTCCTGCATTGCATGAGCCTCCTGCATACAGCCAGCGAGACAGGAACAGATCATGAGGAAATTATTCCAAATAATATTTTTTCACCATTTATTTCCACAGTTTAATTCTTTACCCTGATAACAGCATCACGTTTATACTGAGCCTCTCCGATCCTTGCGTCTCTCTGGACCTGGGCTGTCCGGGCTTTTCCCAGAGAGTGAAGGTAATCCTGCAGAAAAGAGGAAATATTAGAAAACACAAATAAACTTGCAGACCAAACAAGTTCCAATAAAAATGTAAAAGAAGCCATTTTTTTTAATTTATACTTTTAAATTTAGTTAATTCAGAGGTGGAACTAGAAAAGTTTAAATAACAATCAGTTTTCTGTTTTTTCTGTTTCACTGGCTGTGAAGTGACACGATAATATTTCATGGCCACTCTCTAAAATGGGAAAGACAAGAAAACACACCATTTAGGTTCGCCTGATGTCCTATTGACCTCCAAAACTCAAGAAATAGCTGCAAAAAATATACAGTATCTTGGCCTAAAACTGCCCAAATAATTCTGTCAAATAACATTTAAGATTATTTAAAACTTCTTGAAGTTTAAAACACACATAATAAAATGCAAGACTTTAAGATCCAGCAGAGCGTCTGCAGCAGTGGAGTCAGCCTTGTTTTTATTTCAGCATCATGAATGTACTCAATATAATTACCCACTAGACTGTTACAATGTGAATAAATAGACATCTGCAGTCCCTCATAAAGTTAAGTAAACTTTTTCAGATTGAATTCAGATGGAAACTGCTTTGATTTTACTGATAAATATTTAGGCACATAACTATCTCTTTATTTACAGCCTAAATGGCCACATAAGTACATCTGATGCCTCGAGTTTGATACATGAAACAAATTGTGAAAACGAAAACAATATACCTACTGTAAGGTACAGTAGGAAATTTGAGATGCAGTAGGTCTATTTACCTTCTGAATGAATCCTGTTAAAACAGCACCACAAAGTCAGCAGCAGGGAATTTCAAATAAAAATTTGGTGGATAAAGTAAGTTGATAAAATCAATCGTCAGGAGTTTCATGAGGATAAGAACCAAACATCAACACATAGAGTCACAAGATTCAAAATAAACCAATTTCATCCAACCTTGTGCTGATTGTGCAACAAAACAAAAAAGGAATTTATGACTGTGTGAATTAAAATGACTTCTGCAATTAGGCAGAGAAGGATTTAAACTCCCTATAAGCTCCCAGCATTAAATGAGTTTGTCACTTTAACACACTGAAACCCAATGACACGCAGACATTCGGATGTAGTGCATTAGTTAAACCAATGAAGAAATGATTCGACTACTGCTGGAGCACTTAGGCCTGAACGAGGCTGGGAGTTAGCCAGGTCAAAAATCAGTCACTCAAGTTCTTCAATAGCGGAAACCATCCGAGACGGAGAGCTTCATTAGACGCCAGCAAATGTCTTCTGCTTCCAGATGTTTGACTTTTATTTAGAGAATACAAACCTGATCATCGTGGACGTCTTTCAGGGTGTAGCTGACCACACCGATGCCCATGTTGACCAGGTCGGAGGAGGCCACCTTGAACACCTGCTCAGAGAACTTCTTACGATCCTGGTAGATCTCCTGCACAGAAAGCAAAACATTACCGCAGATTTTACCACACAATTCATCGTTCTGACCCGTGTGATGTTAAATTTCAAGTGAAAACATGTGAAGGTGTTGGCGGACTGACCTCGACAGTCAGATGAGCGATGATGGCTCTCTGGTGGCCCTCCAGGGTCTCCAGAGCGATCTGAGCGACCTCAGCCTCAGACTTCCCCATGAACATCTGACAGGCTGTGGCCAGCATCTCCTTGTTCTGACCCTGAATCTTCACCTGGGATAAGAAAAACTAAATGATTTAGTTAAAAGTGAAACTAAAGATTTAAAAGAGGGAGAACATTTAGTAAGATTTCACAGAGTCTTTCCACATTGCCTTGCAAATTTCATTTTATCCCTTGAAACTTTTTCACAAACTACATTGTATTTTTGTTATAACTGCAGATTGTTTTTGTTGAAATGTTACCATTTCTGTACAGTATTTTTATTCCTTGTTCTGTTTTTATTTTACAGTCTACTTTCGTGTGAGTCTGTTAAACTTTCTGGTGATAAAGCATTTCTACCTCACAACATCAACGGTCGACGCTCACCTGTGCAATTCCAGTGACCGAGATGGGGACGCCATGACGAGTGTAGACTTTATCACTTTTCACGTTCAGAGTCAGGGTGTTGAGTGTGATTCTACGGCAGTAAAACCCAAAGCAAGCATGACGAAGCAGAAATGATAATATGCTGATCATTTATGTGCTCTCATTTATCTCCTGAACCATGCAGGCAGAAGGCGGCTCACCTCTGGATCTTCTGGATGCACGGGATGACAAACACTCTTCCTCCAGCAATCATCAGAGGTGGAGAACGGCCGCAGCCTAATGGGGGAGAAGAGAAACCATTTAACATTACAGTGCTGATTAGTGACAAACAACCAGCTGCTTCACTATCCAGAGAAAACCGAAACAGATCAGTTATGGCTTCATTTCACAATACAGGCGAGTTAGTCGCAGCATATTGAAGAAAACTGGAAAATCCCCGAGCTGAAAATCCAATCTGAGCAAATAATTTGATCACAAATCTTCAGTAAAAGCAGAACACATTTATAAACACGGTCATTAAGTATCATCTGTTTCTACCAGCTACTGAAAGGATTTTCTAAACATCCTGTGTTATTGCAGGAAATAAGCAGGAATTTATTACCAGACACCACCATGGCTTCATTGGGTCCACATGTGTAAAACATCTTGATTCCTGAAGGAATAAAATGTATATTTATTATTTTAAAAGGAATCTTTCAGCAATCTGTGAGCAGTGAAAACAGGATTTTATAATACTATAATGAAAATCTATATTTGGATAAAAGTATTTGTGACCAAGATGCAAATGAAAACCAAAACCCTTCACATTTATTACCACATAAAAATAGATAAATGTATGCATAATACATTTTGTTGAATGATAAATTGCAATAAACAATAATATTATTGAGACTATTTGTAAGTAGGATCATGATAATGGCATAATAATGAAAGTTTGCCCTCTCAAAGATCAATAAACGCAAATTTTGAACTGGAAGATATTTAAAACATCCAAAAAAAGACAACTAAAAACAATAAATAAAACTGAAATAAATACCATACACAACCTAAACCATAAATTAAATGGATTATTAAATCTCTGTGAACAAAATTGGCCTTTAAGAAAATATTAATCATCAGATCAGAAATCATCCAGCTGATTTTTATTTATTATGTGATTAATTTATTATTGTGACAAGCTTCTTTATGACATGTAATAAATAACAGATTAAAGTTCATGTATAAAAAATATATATAACTGATATATAAAAAGATTCACAGGAAAAAGTCAGCTTGTGTGAAATTATCCACAGGGAAAAGTTACATTCTGACTGGCAAATTATTACACATAAAACCATTTAATGTGCAGAGTTTTGTGTATAGTGGAGGATCTGTGATGCTGTGGGCCTCTTTTCTTTCACACAACATGGGAATCTTGAAAGAGCTCTTGAAATTACCAGGACATTTTAAATATTAAATAAAAACCTCAGTTAGAAACCTAAAAACTTGTCAACTGCATATTGATTGGAAAATGTGGACGAATGATTCATCAAACTGACAAATAGCACATTTACCTCCCTATATAAAGGATGAGTCCCAAAGAATGTAGCAAAACAGTCAACATTTTTCACAAACATTTTTGAAGCCACAAACTTGCTTTATATTCCAATTTTACTTTACTTCTTAAATCACCTTTATTATAGTCATTAAGTCAAAACTAAGACAAGCAGAGGAGTACAGTAACAACATTTACCTAGTTGAGTAACATTTTGGGGAAAAAGTTTTCTTTTAATACTAGCTTTGCGACACTATAGTTCAGGGGTGTCCAAAGTGTGGCCCAGGGATCATTTGTGGCCCTTAAACTGATTTTGTAAATATGCTACTAAGAAGGTGACATTTGCATCCGAATCAACGTTAATCTAAGTTATTAAATTTGGGTAAATGTAGCAAGCATTATGACAGAAAGTGACACAACTACACATATTTATTTTAATACATCAAACGTCCAAAATCCTGTTTCAATTTTCAGATCTACAACTACAAAAAATAACTACTTCATTTGCTTGACTTTACTTTTTTTGATTATCTTTACTTTATTGGCCTCTGAACACTTTTGGCCCATATGACAAAAAAATGTGGACAACCCTGCTATAGTTTTTACTACAACTTGAGTAATGCTATTGTGAAGTTTTACAACTCTTACCTGAGACAAATATTCAAATTTTAACCAAAGATGCATGAAACACAGACACAAGTGAGACCTCCTGTTTGTTCCCAAGCTTTGTTCTTCTAACGTTTATAAACAGCTGAGCCTGCTGTAAAAGGTCAGGTCAACACAAGACAAATATTATAGTACAAAAGATATTATCACAGCAACTATTTCGCAATGCTGTAGCTAGCATATATTTTCACTACTGTAAATACTCAAGTTACTGAGTATTTACAGTAGTGAATACTCAAATTATTGAGTATTTACAGTAGTGAATACTCAAATTATTGAGTATTTACAGTAGTGACTGCTGGAGTGCTGGTGCTCTGTGTGTTTTCAACCTAACGGCTCCTCCCTCTTTCCCACGAACCCACTGAAATCTTCCTTACATCTTCCCAAACAAAACTTTTAAACACAAAAGCTATCCCCGTGTTAAAAAAGAAAAACGAAACTTTGACCAAACCGAAAACAACACTCTTTATCTGAAATCACGGAGCTAAGAAAGCTAACATAAGCTCGCCTTTAGCACACAGGGGAAGAAGGGACGTAAATTACTTAGTACACACTAGCAGTAAAGGATTAACACAGCTACACTTCAGCCAAATAAACACCGGAACCGACTGATTCTGTTTAATCCGCTCCTATTTGGTTGATAAGAGACAACAAACCTTTTCAGGATGCAATATAATGAGTTTCGTGCTGCTGCGGACAGATTGTACTGTATGTAGCTCGGTGATTGTCAGAAGAATGTCGTTGAGAAAAGGAAGTATCCCTTTACCACGCCCCATTTGACTGGCGCCATCTAGTGGTGAATCTGGTCTGGATCTGCGCACAAACAAGGTTTTAAAAAATAGATGCTTATTATTTCAAAGACTACAAACAAAAAATCAGTAAATACATGTGATTATTGTGGGTCATTAAACAATTTTAAGTTATCATAAAGTGTATTTTTGTACCAGTACATTTATTTCACAATCTGTGTTCTGTTCCTTGTTTTTCTTTGTTTTTGTACCAAAGATGTTTTCTCAGTTGAAAAATAAAGTGTGACCAAACAAAGAATTTGACTCCACTTCCAATTCCTCACATTGTACAGACATTATGCATAATTAGATAAGCATTAGAGGGAGAAAAGTTAAGAGTAAAGTGAAAATACACAAGACATGTACATGTTCATTTTATTGTAGTGTCCTCTTAGCAAAAAGTATAGGGTAATTTTATTACATAGGCTTGAAGATAAAAGCACAGAAAGTATCATAGAACATGTACCTTGGGTGTATTAGAAAATATACTAATATAATAAAATACAACTGTTTTTTGTTTACAAAAGTTTATATTAAGTTTGCTTTAATAAAGTCGTTTTAAGTTTGCAAACATATTGTCTGATGTAAGTATATATGCAACACATAGTCTGATGTAAGTATATATGTGTGGTTCATATTTTAGTTTATTGTTGCATATTTAATGAATAAGTGTAAGCATTGATATGTATTTACTCTCTGACTGTTCTATATACTTTACAGTACAAGCCAAGTGTGTTTCACTATCCTATTCTTAAGTATGTAACATATGGCTTGCTTTAAGTACACTTCAAATAGACAGCCAAACTACAGCTTATTAAGGGTCACAGAGTTAGTATGCAACTCTGGCTGTAAGGAGTCCATTGTGTTCATCAGCTAGACAGCCTGAAGGAAGAAAACTGTCTCTGTGACGTCTGGTTTTTGTAAATAGTGTTTTGTAGAACCGACTTGAAGATAAAAGTCTAAACAGTTTGTGTCCAGGATGTGTGGGGTTGGGACAGTTGTTAGCTGCCCTTTTCCTGACCTGACCTGCACAAGTCCTGGACGGAACAGAGGCCGGCCCTAATAAGCCGCCCTGCAGACTTAATTGTTGGGTACAGTTTGGACCTGTCCAGTTCTGTGGTTAAGTCAAACCACACAATGTAAACCACAAAATTATGTTTCTGTTTTATACATTTAAAAAAATATAGTAATCTTATTGGGATGATTATGTGTACCTACATTTTAAAAAAGCAGTGATTTAAAAAAAAATAAAAACACTCTTTCACATCACCTTATTAACGGAAATGCTTTTTTTTAATCTCAGGAAGTCAAATGCTTTCTGTTTTATTGACTGAGAACAAAACTATCTAAGAATAGGATTTGGATCACTCTTTGTTCTTCTTTATTTCAGGTATATTTAGCAACATTGACTGAGTGGGACTGTTTTGGAGTATAAGTTGCTGGATGTTGGTGGTTCTGTTCAAAATTACACTAACAGGAACAAACATAGATAATTAAATACTTTGTAATGTACCAGACACCTTCTATTTTAATTTAGATTGAATTTTATATGTTAAATTTTTCCAAAACATTTTTAACAAGAGTACATCTGCATTCGTTGCACGTTCTGGTCTTGAATTGCTGAAAGGGGCTAAACAAATGTATTTCAAGGGCCACACGTGGTATATCCTGCTGCAACACAATAACTGGCCACTTTATTAGGCACACCCTCCTGGAAAATTGCTGGAGCCCCATTTGACTTTAGGACTCATGTCATCATTGTTGTCATGTATTTAACCAGGGGAACTCAAACATTTTTATGAAATGTTGTTTTCTATAGACTTGATCAGTTGTGGATTTGTCACAAGCTTCTCCCCAGGACCAAATGTGCTCTAGTGCATTGTGGTCTGGTGACTGTGGAGACCATTGGAGAACAGAGAAGTTGTTGTCAGGTTTCAAAAATAGTTTCAGATTACCTGAAACTTACAGGCTGGGTTAACATCTCAGACTTTGTGTTTCCTTCTTGGAGGTAGTTGAATTTTATTTGTGAAGCCACATTTTTCCCGGCAGAACACCACTGAGCAACATGATGAGCAGGTTCTCATTGATATGACCTGTAACCTGTAGAAACAATGTTGATCTCTGTTTGAACTATCAGACGCTAAGTGACATAATCTTAGTTCCCTAAAGCAGTTTTATGTGGTTTGAAACATGTTGACATTTACTGACTTTGCTCTCTGATGACCTGAGGCATAAGCTGCTTGCTGACAAAGCAGTCTAGCGCTTTCCCAAAAGCTTCACCCATTTCCTTATATAATTATTTTCTCTTCAGATTTAAACTGACTAAATTTAGAATATGCAAAACATTATGACTTTTAAATTTGGATAATATTGTTGTAAATAAACAAAGCACCTCCAGCACTAAAGAATCACTTATGGTATTGTCATGAATCTCACATTTATTTTTAGGCTTTTAATGGTGCATATGACCTGTTTGTTACCAAGGTGCAGCAATGACACAATAAAGAATTTTAATGAAATTTTAAAAGAGAACGTTTGAGCAGAAAAATTTATTTAGTGTGAATTTTTACTTTCCCACAAATGTTAAACATAGAGGCTCAAGTGTAAACTGTGTACATCCATTAATATTTGAGGAACTACCTTCCTTGTGCTTATCAGCAGTTTTTTATGGTTGTCTCGTCCACTGTTTTTGTGGAACTAATTTGAATCGCAATGAAAAAGGCTTCTAAGAATATTCCATAGAGTTTCAATAAGGTGGAGACTACAGGTGTTGAAGATTGTTCCTGCTTTATTCATTTCAAAATCAACTTTGATTTGTATTTTTGGAGTATTGTTCTGTTGAAAAACAACATTGTTCCCAAGTTTTTAGCATCAGACTTTGATTTAAACTGAAGTTGAGGAATTTGACATTGTCTTTCTTCATTAGTACAAAAATATCAGTGAGCGCCAAACAGTCCCACAACATGAAGCTTTCACCACCATATCTGGCAGAATATCAACTTTTAACTGTGGTTCCTTCTAAGTCCAAAAAAACTTCTCTTGAAGTTTTGTCCATGTGATGCCCTTCAAATTTTGATTTCTCTAAACAATTTTGACTTTTCACCATGTGCTTCTTTCTTTTTAGTCTCCCAGTCATTCTGCATTGATGCTAAACATTCTTTACTGTGGAGAGAAATATTGCTGTTTTCTGAATTATTAAAGATCAAGACCAATTTCTTTTCACCAGGTTGGACTAAATTGTTAAAACTTTGACACAATTAACTGTTCTGACATGATCACTCATGCTGAAAATATGTACAGTATGCTTAAAGTTATGGACTGTGGCAGAAAAATAAATATCAGTTTAAGTGAGCTGTAATGTTTCTACGAAGAAGAGCAGCCACAATTATACAAGAAGTTTACCATTTGCAAACAATTAAACAAAAGAAGGTATGGTACATCTGCAAGTAACTAAAAGATATTTATTCAAATGTGTATATATTTTTGGCTGGACCAAAACAAATTTTAAATAAGAAATTGAAAATTAGTTTTGGTTAGACACAAGAGCTTTTTTTTTTTTTTGTCAAGCCATGCCATCCCCACCTTCCAAGGCCTTGCCACCCGAGACAGTGATCCATATTGCTCTCATAAAAACTACCACTAATGATGAATGTGTAAACATCTGTCTCTAGTTGAATAGTGTATATTATTACCCGTCTTAATCCATTAATTTTTCTCCCATTGGCGTCCTACATTTAGCCACATTGCTCAATGCTCTGCAGCTGCTGGATAGTTTCTTTTAAAATGATCTCATCCATTTACATCCAGGCTTTTTAATAGAGGGTTGACTACATTCTGGCATTCTCCCTGCATTCAGAAGCAAATATGCAATTGGATAAGGCAAGGGAAGAAAATGCACATAATGTATGCTCCATCTGAAGAACACTGAGGGTATTAAATCTTCCAAAATCAGTCAAATTGATCTGCTAGTGAGATTTCTTTTCCTGAACACATGCTGAAAAGGGCTTGAGTGAAATTGTCCCCATTTCCCCCCCAGCTGGACACGGAAATGTCCACCATCTGTTTCCTATAAAGTAGGCGATACGAGATGATATGTTATGGCTGACCCATGGCTGACAATAAATATTTCTGGACACCAGCTGGCAAAAATTTTGGCCAGTCTCCTTTTCTCATTTCCACTCCCTGATCTGCAACATCCCAGAACCCCGTCTCCTCCCCCAGTCTGTCCTCTGCAGCCAATCGGCGCCGTGCAGCCGCTGCATGTGGGCGTGTCCGCGACCCCCACCTCCCCTGGAAACGCTCCAGCCTTATAAATCCATTGTCCAGCGCGAGCTCTTAAGGCACCAGTCGGCTCCTCGTGCTGTAATTGCAACCTCTCCTCGCTCTTTATCTTAGAAAACTTTCACTTCCACGATGAGAGAAATCGTGCACATCCAGGCCGGCCAGTGCGGTAACCAGATCGGTGCCAAGGTAAGAGAACACCGTATTTCCTCTGAAACCATTCCTCCTCTTATTTAACACATTTCTGCTCATACAAAGACCTTCTTATGTTAGTTGTGAATAGAACCATTTATTTTCGGTGCATATATGATGAGTTTATTATCTTTAGGTTACACCAGCTGATCTGTCTCTGTGGTTTTCCAGTTTTGCACTGCGGTAACTGGTGGGTGGGTGTGTGCTTTGATATAACGGTACCACGGGGGTCTTGATGTCTCGACGGGATTTTTTTTTACTCCCCACACAACACCGGGCGTGTCCGCCTTCCCAACACTTTGGTTTCAGCTTATCCTCGGACATTGTTGAAGAGGAGAAGAAAGAGGGGAGAGTCTGTTCTCCAGTTGTCACAGCCCCCCTCAGTCAGACCAGTCTGCCTTCCTTTGTCTCCCTCAGGCAGATATGACCGGTATTTCAGACAATGAGTGGGAGTCTGGAGGAGAGGCCTAGTACTTCTCCTCTTCCTCCCTATTTGGATCAATAGCTCTTATTGATT